TAAGAATGTCTAACTCAACAAAACTAAAAACTGTAAATATAAAATTAATTGACAAAAATAAAAAAACGACTGCGTATAAAATGAACATTGAAAAGATGAGAAGTTGACGCAGGAACAGAGTATTATGCAGTTAGAGGTATATGTATGATTACCCAACTGCGCCAGAAGGAGGGTTATTCGAGTGTATGTATGTATATTTCTTTGGCACGCTTTGTAGCATAAACGGTATAATGGATTTTAGCTTGAGAGGCATCGTTAGATTCGTCTTAAATGTGAAAGTAACACTGGGTATATCAAAATTATAAAAGTTAAAATGGCCAAATTTGTCGCCATATTATAAATGTCTTCAAATATTTTTTTCCTCAAAACCTAACGAATGGGGTATCAAAATAAAGGATTTTATGAATTGCTTACAAAGATATACACAACTTATATGTTTAAATGTAATTTGGAATGAGAAATGTTAATAAGAAACAAAAAAATATATTTATAAAAATAAAAAGCCCAACTGCATAAAAAGCGAACTAAAAAGATAAAACAAGTTGACGAAGGAACAACGTATTATGCAGTCGTCAAAGGAACATGTCACCACTTCTAATCACGTTATTTAATTTGCACGAACAAAACGCAATTTACCTTAACTGGTTTTATTTGATGAATGTCCTCTTTAGCGATAGCTATTTATATTGCGACAAACGTCTTAATAATTTAAAACTCTATTAAAATCCTTTTAGCATGTATGTTGCATGAAATATGAGAGTGAATTTTGTGCAATGATCAGAATAAAATAGCTACTAGATGGGTTTCGTTCGTGCATGTAGGAAACCTGAATTACTATTTAAATTACCTTTGAAAACATAGGTATCTAATTCCCAATGTTACGTTATTCACATGAAATATTAATCAAAACCTTTGAGGAACTCATTTTAAACAAGCAAAGCATTTAATAATTATATGAAAGCTTTGTATAATCTTACTTGCTTGAACAATTTATAGTATTATAGGAAATGTAATTTCCTATTACTTGAAAGTCTCCTTTTACAGAGGAAAATGTTAAAGCTTACCAGTACTGCCTGATTGGATTAATTTTACTGAGAATTATCGCTTAAATAGAGCGAATGCTTCATTCAATATACTCGTAGTTAATGAAAATGAAATAGACACTAATATTGGCAAAGCGCGATACTCAGTCCAAGAATTCTATGCAGCTATGTTGGATAACTTAATTGCTAATACTCGGAAAACAAATAACTAATTTTATGATACAAGTCAATATGATTGTTAGAAAAATTACTTTAAATTTCAATATACGTATAATATGCGACGAGTAGTTTACAAATACTGCCATTTTAAGGAGGACTTGTAGATACAGTTTATCAACTGTTCCTTCAATTCTTTATGGTTGTAAATAAGAATTGAAACAACTATGCGTATATACTTTTATTGAACACTTGGGTCGACCTACAGCTTTGAACTAAAAAGAGATATGCCTTTTTTTAGTTCACAAGTACTAATCGTGACTTTGTTCGTAGTTGCCACACAGACAATAGGTTATAATGTCTATGAGCTAACACTATCAGAAAAAGCGGGTTCTATTTCGTACTTCGATATCAGCGTTATTATTTGAACATAGAAAGCCATTACTCTGCACAAAATGACAACATAACTGACAATAAGTAATGGAATAAGGCTTCATTATTATCGACATATAGGTATGTACATATATCTATTTACTAGGTATACATTACACAAGCTTTCACTTTCTTTGTTAATAGCATTAAGGTTAACAAAGAAAAAATGCATTTAAATCCGATCAATAGTTATATATCTTGAGATCACAACTAAAGAAATAACAAAAAAGTTTTTAAAAGCTCCGAACCAATTATACTCATAAATAATAGTTAAAAGAAAAAAAATAATGAGACACTAAAAATTGATTATAGGTTTTTTCCTCATAATATATGTATTTAAGCGCAAAAAATAATAATAAAAATAAATACGAGTATGTTAGATATACTATAAGTATGACCTGATGCAAAGATCGCGTAATCTATATGTAGGTATCTATTATATAATAAAGCAGTAACTTAGAGAACTATACATGAAATATTTTTTAAAGACTATGACTGTAACGTATTATGTACACATTAGTACAAGACCGCAAAACAATAGTTATAAATTTTTTTGTCTGTTTGTCTGTTCGTGTGTACGCGTATCATGCAAAAAGTAATGAACCGATTTCAATAAAATTTGGTGAAGTGATGACTTATTACTCAAGTCAATATTTAGGACACCTTTTACTTCAGTAAAATCTTTCTTTCCGAGCGAAAACATAATAACTGACTTTATCAAGTCATCCTTAGAAACCACCCGCTCCGCTCCGCTCTAAAAAATTGTAGGCCTTAAATAGGCTTTCAAAAAAGTCTGCTATAGTATAGTATACTATAGCAGACTTTTTTTGAGTGTACCTTAGGAGACATATATCTCCTAAGGTAGACTTACAATACCTATTCTTATCTATACATATAATAAAACTAACTTGTCAAATCGATGTGCGCGTTTTCTGCAAAAAGTACTAAACCAATTGTAACTAAACTTTGTATAGTGATAACTTATAACTTGGGTCAACATTTAGGGTTTCTTTTACTACAGGAAAAAAAATCATTCCCACGGAAAAGCACAATAACTAGTTCTATGGAGTCGCCCTTAGAAATGTATATGCCTAACGCTGGCTAAACCTTAAAAGAGATACATCTAAAAGATGTGCTAGAAAATTGTAGGTCTTAAAAATCTTAAAAAGGTCTACAGAAAAGTCCGCAATAGTATATGTCTATCTACTAAGGCGCACTCGCAATAACTATTTTTATTATATACTAGCGACTCACCCTCGCTTTGCTCGGGTTCGTCCCTAGGTACGTTTCAACGGTAAGTATAAAGTAGACTATACAATAGTAGTACAGCGTGCATACATAGGTATAGAAATCTATACTATAATAAAGCAGTAACTTAGAGACATCTGTACATGTACTTAACGCTAAAACGTACCTAGGGATGAACCCGACCGAAGCGAGGGTGAGTCGCTAGTATATAATATATGACTCTATATATTTCTCACATCCGAGCTTTATGAAAATAAACTTCGCTATGAACTAGTCAAACTTTTCGAACGCTACTGCAAACGATAGCGACGACGCCCATGTATGTTTGGCTCTAATGGTCAGGGAGGAACCATAACGAGACTTTGCTCTAGTTTAGATTATAATGAATACTTCATTTAAAAATCCTGACAAAAGATACCTTTTTAAATATTTTTATCCTTATTCGGTATGATATTAACTTTTAACAGTAAAGCGGGACTGAACAGGCAGACACACAGATAAAAATTCTAAAAAGAATGTTTGTTGTATGGTTGTTCAATTTATTCCATGAATCTTAAATGCTCAACTTTGACTACCTCATAACTTATAAAATTACTAGTGACTCACCTCGCTTCGCTCGGATTCGTCCCTAGGTGCTTTTTATCGGTTGTTATGGAATGATAGACTATGTTACATATATTATGTATACGGAGCCTTCTACGAAAAATCGGACTTTCAAAAAAAATATTTTTGATTTACTTAATATTTTGGTATTTTTAGTACCCTTTAAAAGAGGCTTCCTGGTAAATTTTGTGATTTTTTGATCACTGGTTCAAAACTGCTCTTTTTTTGGTTTTTACTCATAGTTTTCTTAATAATGGTCGAAATTCACCTTTTTTTATTCAAAATTTTTGTTTTTGAATGACCTTTACAAAAAAAAATGTAAAAAATATTTAAAATGTTTTTAATCGAGATTTTTGAATTTTAATTTTTCAATCGTGTTTTCAAGACATAAAATAAAAAAAGTCTGGATAGAAACATTTTAAATATTTTTTTTATATTTTTTAATGTGTTTCTACTAAAACCCAATGGAACCCCACGTCTTAATGGGGCATCGCCGGATCGCTTACGCATTCAACCACGACGCACCGACGGCAGGTCTGCCGAAGCAGACCACAACAACCATGGGGTTGCGCCACAGTCCACTCCGCGATCAGAGAAGTACCAGGAGCAACCGCATAGTACACCGCCCACCGAGGTGGGCCATCTCCCATTGCGTTTCTTGGCTTCGCGCCCGGCTGGACTGCTGGGCATTATTGAACCCATACCCTCCCCCCTCCCCACCACGACAAGATACTTACACCATCCTGACACAATCCCCACAAAACAAAAAAAGAATTATTCAAATTGGTCCAGCCGTTTTTGAGTTTTAGTGAGACTAATGAACAGCAATTGATTTTTATATTTATAAATATGTAAGTAAAGAGACGTAGACCAATGAACTATAAATATTTTTATACATGGTTAACATATGTGTCTATTAGGTATAAGTTGTCTGCGTAATAATATGATTAGAAATCGGCAAAATATACCTAAATATCATACCAATAAAATCCACTTCAGATAATAGACATTGATCGTCATGACAATTATTGTTTTCCAGTATACCTTTTAGACGTTTGAGGGTTCAATATATAAAGCCTTCCAGTGTTGGACAGCCTAAAGCAAGCGCAATAAAAATGTCGTTATGTACATGCCCGCGGAGGTTTTTGACATAGTTCCATCAATGTACGATAGGTTGCCCTCAAGTTACATTTGCGAAACCTAAGATGTGCCTAATTTTACATATATCTGCTTATAAAAAACTTTACTAAGATTTTTAATAAACTTAAAACTCAATCTAAAACTTTCACATAAATTAATTGCTTTCAACCCCGTGGTAACGAATATTCATAACATTCACTAAATTTATATTCAAATTAGTATACAAACAGACCAGCAATATATTATTACATTTCAAATATTTATTTTAATTATGCATTTCACTTTCAATGGCCTCGTTCCGAATTATTTCCAACAGAACTTCAGCCATGGAACTGACATTGTTGTGATATTTTTAAGATCATTTTATTTTGCCTGTAGCCTTCAGAGACAGGTGAGCGTGATGAGCATGAATCTGTCAGCCAAGCTAGACGAGCTGCAGCGGGGCGACCGACAACTTGAGACAACGGTCGCTCTTTGCGAAATCCGCTCTCAGCTTCAGGAACTTACGAAGAGTGTCGAGTCGTGCCAGAGTGAAGTCTCAGAGGTAAAATACTCTAGTCAACTCAAGTTCACTAAAATTATAGCATTTAATATGGGGTTCTATTATAATTTTTCTCTAAATGTGAAGGTGAAACGGGATATGGTTGCTATCAAACAAGAGCTAGACACCGTTCAACAGGTGAAGGAAGAGATCGAAGAACTGCGAGAATATGTGGACCGACTCGAAGAACATTCTCAAAGGCGTAAGCTTAAGCTGCTTGAGCAGGTACATGCATACATTTTATATATACTAATATTACAAATAGGCAGAATTTGTTTGTTCGTTTGAACACACTAATCTTAGGAACTACTAATCCGATTACAAAATTTCTTGCATTAGACAACCCATTTCCTGAGGAAGGTTATAGGCTATGTATATCATCATGCCCAACTACCCAAATAAGCGAAGCAGTAATCATAGTCGTCAACGGATCGCGCATACATTACATTGAAATACGTACTTGACGAAATACTCATCATATAGAGGGTAGGTATATAAAACAGGCATGTAATATGTATAATCAAATTTACATTGCATAGCTAAAGGCACAGCTAATTAAGAGATAAACAACAAGTTCATAGTACCTAGTATAGCATTCTAGTTTCATATTATAAAAATATTAAAGTCTGATATTAGATATAAAATTTCAATTTGTTTAAAAAATATCGAGATGAATTTAGTTCAAGTGTTTCTTATCTACCAGACGTTAATCAGTAGATTTTTAATAACATGAAATAAAAATGAACTTACTTATTATATGTTTTAATTAAACGTTATTACTTTTTCATAAATACTTCTAACGTCTTCACAGTATTGATTTTATACGTATATTAAAGTAATAACTGTCATTAACAAATGCAGATAGAATTTCCTAGAAAATATATTTATCGAGTGAGTTACTTTGTCGCGAAGACCGCGCTTCGAAGAAATGAGGAATAGTGCTTTTTCCACAAATGCAATTTATACAGAGATCTAATTCTTAGAATCATAGAAAATTATCACGCTGTTTATTCTACTTTCATTGCATATGTATTATGTACAAAACACAATAGACACACAATAAATTACAATAGGCCACGCCAAAATAGTTAGAGATCAAAGAAGTGAATACAGTCGAATTCTTCATTTTTTTACTATTCATTGAAATTTACAATATGTTATATATTTGTGAAACATAAAAATTTATTGGATTTCCAAGTAAAGAATATTCCAGTTGCAGCATAATTATACATTCACAATTACAATATATACGGCTAAGGAATGATTTCCTGGATAGAAATATATCCTATGTCCTTCCCAGGGTCTCAAACTATCTTCTTACCAAATTTCATCTAAATCGGTTCAGTAGATCCAGAGATTACTCCCTATAACGTCACAAACTCACAATTCACAAAGTTTACCTCTTTATAATATTTAGTATAGATATGTAATAATATTATTACCAAACCATTAGTTTTTAGTTAGGAAACTATAAGAACTTTTATACATACGATCTCGCCCTTAATAATCTATTTAAGACTAATAAAAAACAGGTCTTTTTCATTATTTATGTAAACTTATTTTAACTACCGGTCATGTAGAGCTATATATTTTGGTTGCAGGGTCTTACATTCTTCTTGTCATACGCCATTTTAGCCGCGGTGCTCGGAATGCTGCAGTTCGGATACAACACTGGTGTCATCAACGCTCCTGGCAAAGTGAGATAGAGAGCTTAGTCGTAAATACTATAAGCCTTGGCAAAATAATTGAACACTAAATATTTCAAAGAGAAAAAAAAATCTTTCTTTGTTATTTATTTTTGTTAGTAGGTAAATGAAGGAAAAGAATCACTAAAACTTATTTTATTTCTTTTAAAATTGCATATATTATATGTCTATAACTTTTAATTACAAAAATTTACTTATTGCCCCTCGCTTCGCTCGGATTCACCTCTAGGAAAACAAAAATAAACCTATCCCACGGGAACCGTACATTTTTCCGGGATAAAAAGTAACCTATGTGTTATTCCAGATTATAATGTATCTTGTGCCAAATTTCATCCAGAGCCGCTCAGACGTTCTGGCGTGAAAGAGTAACAAACATCCATAAATACTTACAAACTTTCACATTTATAATATCAATAATACGGATTAAAAGAAATTATTTCTAGAGCGATCTTAAATTTTGAATTCATGAGGCATTTACCAAAGGCGTGCCTTACAACTAGTCATTTATTTAAATTTTTACATAGTATATATCATTTATTTAAATTTATTTTAATTTTTATAACATTTATTTTAATTTTTACATACATAAATAAATGTAGGTATCTACCTACATTTATTTTAAATCTCATTATTCAAATTTTATGTACAGAATATCGAAAATTTCATGAAAGATGTATACAAAGACCGGTACGGTAAAGACATCCAAGATGAAAACGTGAAGAAGTTATACTCGATAGCTGTGAGCATCTTCGCTATTGGTGGAATGCTGGGCGGCTTTTCTGGAGGAATGATCGCAAATCGTTTTGGGAGGTATAAATAATTAAAATATGTTTACCTATATAAATAAAAATTGATTATTACGCTATACACTTCATATAGTACGAATTATACTAAGTCTCATTCGTTCACAGGAAAGGAGGTCTCTTGCTCAACAACATTCTCGGTATCAGCGGCGCAACTCTTATGGGCTTCACTAAAATATCACACAGCTACGAAATTCTCTTCTTCGGTAGATTCATCATAGGCGTCAATTGCGGTAATACAACATAACGCTCTAAGCTCTTAACTTAAACAAAACCACATGAATTATTATAAATGATCCGTAACTATGATGCTGTTTATCGGTTTTGAGGTTAACTCTCAAAGCGAAGCATAATATGCAAGTACAGTACATTGAAATGAGCAAATATTTACGTAAATGAAATATACATATATTAAAAATGCTTTAATGACGGATAATTATATATATTGTAAAAAATTAATTAGGTCTGAATACGTCGCTTGTGCCAATGTACATATCGGAGATTGCGCCTCTCAACCTGCGTGGCGGTCTCGGAACGGTTAACCAGCTCGCCGTCACTGTTGGGATGCTGCTCTCGCAAGTTCTCGGTATCGAACAAATACTTGGCACGGATGATGGATGGCCCATCTTGCTTGGTAAGAAATACAATTAACTAACCACACACTATGTGAAATAGGAGGTTTAGTGCGCGTTTGCATGTTTTAAAATTTTAATTCGCATATATCTACGAGTAAAAACAATTACATAGTTGTATACATATTATGTTTAATTTAATTTTTGACCTATATTTTTTCTTTTTATTACGTAGGTTTGGCTATTTGCCCTGCCATTCTACAACTATTGCTACTGCCAGCTTGCCCTGAATCGCCACGTTATTTGTTAATTACTCGACAGTGGGAAGAAGAAGCACGACGAGCGCTCCGGAGGCTACGAGCCAGCAATCAGGTACATAAAGGCTTTTTAATAGTCTTTTTAATGGCTTTTTGTATGAAGATTATGTAAATTTAAAAGTAATAAAAGAAGATATAATAAATATAAGGAAGCTTTGTAACATAATTAAAGCAAATTAATACCAATTGATCACAATTGTGACTAAGGAGTTAAAAGAAGCTTTGTAGCCGTTTTAATTGGGCGGAGAAAGCTTATATTCTATAAAAATAATTACTTTTTAATAATTAAAGTAAATTTTCATGGCATTGAACACATAATTTTAGAACATTACTAGACTTCAAAAATTTGCTTTTGAACTGCATGAATGCATGATGGTGATGATGTTACATGTATTAAAAAAACTGTTAATTCAAAATGATTTAAAGCATTTCTTTATAAAGTACGATTGCGAATTTATAAAAGAACTTCATAAGCAGTCTTCGAACTGATAACCTTCTAATTATTATGGAAATGGAATATTTGGTAACAGTTCATTTTTTAATTAATTAACGGAATAACAGCATGAATATAGGTACTTTAAAATTTTAATGCATAAAATAATGGCATCAAGGTGGAAGAAGATATAGAAGAGATGCGAGCTGAGGAAAGAGCGCAACAAGCCGAAGCGTCAATATCTATGAGGGAACTTCTCTGCTCACCAACGTTGCGCGCGCCTTTGCTCATAGGCGTCGTAATGCAACTGTCGCAGCAACTTAGCGGAATTAATGCAGTAAGTATAATTAAAAGGCCGAAAACACATTTTTTTCATTTAATATGTTTTAGGAACGGTAGTCGAATGAATTCGTAACAAATAACACTACTAAATGCTAGATTTGACGTTCTATTTAACTTCGTAGAATGTTTAAGTTAGTTAAAAATAAGTTTCAATAGCTTTATTATAACTACTTTTTATTCGTCAGTAAGCAAATAGTTCTCATTAAACAACAATATAATTTTTATTTGGTTTTTTGCGCCTAATTTAATTTACCCCATATAAATTTTAACATCATGATATGTTTATATGCGTCGCATACTCATCTATACTAACATTATAAAGACGGAGTTTGTGAGATTGTGAGTTTGTGACGTTGTAGGGGGTAAACTCTGGATCTACTGAAGCGATTTAGATGAAATTTGGTAAGAAGATAGTTTGAGACCCTAGAAAGGACAAAGGATATTTTTTTATAAATATTTATTTATTTGAATTTTATAAATCATCCCTTAAGGGGGTGAAAATGGGGATGAAAGTTTATATTGGGAAGCAAGTTAGGGATGAACCCGAGCGAGGGTGAGTCGCTAGTATTATGATAAAAGCATGTAATGCTTTTACTCGTACCATAATATGCTTAAAATTGTCCTAAGGATATGTAAATTTCTAAACTATTTCAAGTGTCATCTTACAATCCTAACAGAAACACTGCTGGTCTAGAACTTGTATTATTATAAAGTTGGCTGACCCACAGTATTATGGTACTGATATATGTACCTCCTTAAGGAGGTAGTTACGAGTGGCAAGTTATCCCATATATAGATACGTACGTGGGTTGACTCTATGTAGAGCATACAGTGAAAACTAGGTTCTCGAGAGGATGGTATTCTAATAAGTATAAATTGAATCTCACATTCAAACTATGTCTGATTTATTAAAATCCTAAAAGATCATCTCTGCATTACTAGTGGTACAATATTTTTTCTTATTACAGGTGTTCTATTATTCAACTTCTCTTTTTACTACATCGGGTTTGACTGAAGAATCGGCGAAGTTTGCAACGATGGGTATTGGCGCTATAATGGTAGGCATGACGCTGGTATCTCTGCCTCTGATGGACCGCACCGGCCGACGCACGCTTCATCTCTACGGACTCGGCGGAATGTTTATCTTCTCGATCTTCATTACCATCTCATTTCTCATAAAGGTGTGTCTTACACAATTTCATTTTCTTGTAATAGAAAATTTACTAAACAAAATATGATAGTAAATTAATTATTCCAAAAGTACTTCCTAAAAATTTCGTCAGTTATGTACTTGTAACTGAATTTAATAAATTATATAAATGTATTTTATATACATATAATATATATGTATAATTTATAAACATTTAATCCTAAGTGATTAAAAAGTGATAGTAATTATATTTAAATGCTTTTAAATATTGGAATATATTAAAGTTACAGATTAATGTCAAAATAAAAGTATAATATTCATAAATAGAATTTATAGTAGATACTCAAGAGGTGAGTGCTTAGACCTTTTATGTATGTACTATAATTATTAAATAAAAAAAGAACAATTTGTTTTATTGGTCGTGTGTGTTCTTTAATTAAATCAATTTGGTACAATACTACATGAGCACTTGTGTATATGTACTCGTATATGAAAAATAAAATTGAAATATTAATTTTAATTCTATATATATTTTTAAAGCTAAACTTTACGAATATAAATATATACAGAAAATCTCAATTTTTATTTTTTGAGATTTTATATAAATAAAGTTATATACTTACACATCGACGTAATAGTTTCCTATATTTCAATTTTGTTATATGCAAGAAACTGCTATACCACATCTATCGTTACATTATGTCGATGTGTATATTTTTTATAATCTTTAAGTTTCATAATAAATAGAAAAGACATAATATTCACGTTTACAATTATTAATAAATATTATTTATTTATTTGTTGTATAGTAAATTAAACAATACACACAGCCGCAAAATTTGTTCGACATTATTTATTTAAGAATACTTAACAATAAAATTATTTACAAATTATTATACAATAAATACGATGCGATATTTATTAATTATTTCAACTTATGTCCTATTAACTCAAATGGCCGCGTAGGTAACTTACTTATGGTATAGCTACCTGAAACGATTCACGTAATCAGATTTCAAAAAAATGTAAGAATTGTCTTTACATTTTTTGTCAAGTATACATTAATATACTATACTAATATAATAAATGTGAAAGTTTGTGAGTATGTATGGATGTTTGTTACTCTTTCACGCCAGAACGGCTGAACGGATCTGATGAAATTTGGCACAGATATATATATATTATAGTCTGGAATAACACATAGGCTACTTTTTATCCCCGAAAAATGTACATTTCTCGAGGGATAGGTTTGTTTATGTTTTTCTAGAGGTGAACCTGAGCGAAGCGAGGGTGAGCCGCTAGTATACTATATTTTTGGAATTGTAGCCTTAGTAGTTTTGGAGATCAGAATAAGGCAACGCCCAACTTTCTTAAATATATTAAATATTTTTAGCCGCGTATCTTAAATTAATTAAAGTGAACTTTTCCTTTTGATATGTAAATTCTATTAAATATAATATATAAACCAGTTAATCTCAAAAAAAAGTCAAAATTCTTGTATTTATCTCAAAAATTCAAATAGTTTTTAATACTGTTATTTTAAACAGATAATATTTTACATTCAAAAAATAAAATTGTTATTTAAGACGTTTATATAAACGTTATTCTAAAATCTTATAACAAAAAGCCTTTTGAGTTACTAGGACCATAAATGCTTTGTAAGATCTATAATAAATATGTTTTGATCTCCTAAATCCATATACTATTTAAGCGATAACGGAATGATATTATACAATATTCGTGAAAATTAGTCTCTGATCAGCTCTTATGTCAATAGTAGAAACTATACTTCTGGAACTCAATTATTCTATGTTAATTCTAATACATAATATGTATGTGGATCCGGGGGAAAATAAGTTACTTAACTATATTTATTTAATACAAATTTAAGTTTGTACGTTTTTTATATAATTGAGTAACTTATGAGGTCTAAATATGCACAACGTTTGCTTAAGCACGCTTTATCATTGCTTAAATCCACATTCGACTGATATTTGTTAAATTATTATTGACATCAAATTGACATCAATGAAATTCATCTTTCATTATTTTTCCTATACGACTACTATTATATTACCATTTAGTTAAATCATTACGGCCTATATTAAAGTGGCACTTCATTAGGGACATTCACACCTTATCATACACATTCATTGTCATGCACATAGTTAATTACATATATTAATTACACACCGTCATTAATCTCCATTTCACTGACCATGGTTTTGGTTGCTTCAGCTTAGTGCTAGTGGAACCCCCCCCCCCCATTCGGCTTTCCTGTCTCCGAGCCCGGACTCTCTGTAGGATATTGAATAAATGAAATAAATGATCAAATATAAATGTTAGGAACATCACTCACAAAGCACGTACACAATTTTTTATTCACTACACAATACAAGCCATTCGAAAGCGATAGATCCACGAGGAGCTCTGGCGCACGCGTTAATTGAGGCGAGACTTTCCACACAACACTGCTCAAAAGCAGAAGGCACATCACTGAAGCATACGCAGTACAGCCAATGATATAAAGTTAACTGATTACTTCACTCTGCTATTACAGCACTTTGTAGATGAAGGCTAAGGGAGAATATTGAAAGGGCGTGGTTGCAATGATATAGGTACGCGGTTATACCGACGATACTATCAAACGAATGACTTCCGACAAACATACACAATATGACAAGTGTGTGATGGCATTTATGTTTGTTATTTATTTCTTATTCCGGTCGGTCACGGGAAAGAACATCATTGCTATCCCCTGATAGGAGTTTTTTGGCTATGTGCAGGAAATGATTGACTGGATGAGTTACTTATCGGTGGTGTCTACGCTGAGCTTCGTAGTGTTCTTCGCTGTAGGCCCTGGCTCCATTCCCTGGCTGATTACTGCAGAACTCTTCTCACAAGGTCCGCGACCAAGCGCAATGGCGATTGCAGTTTTAGTTAATTGGATGGCTAATTTCATGGTCGGAATTGGCTTTCCTAGTATGAATGTACGTATTTTTATAAAATTTTATTATAATATTCGCAAAAGTAAAAGAAGGTCGAATAACTGAATAAAGCATGCATAGTAAACTTTAAAATTTATTACTACTCGTAAAATAGACTCAGCTAAACAGGAAAAATTCACTGCAACAGCTGCAATGCTGTATACCCATATGATAATGCCTCATACCTAAGATAGAGACTATAATAATATAAAAGTATTTTCCAATATAGATTTACTTATCTATTACTACTCTATCCTAAAGTCAATTATCACAAATATTTCAGATTTTTTTCTTTAAGACATGCAAATCTTAGGACTTAGTTAAAAATGTAAGGATTTAAATAGCTTAATGTTTTAATAACTCAATCACGTTATTTAAACCATTTAAAATTATATTGAACTTATTTTACTACAGGTTCTATTGGACAACTATACATTCCTGCCTTTTAGCGTATTCCTTGCATTTTTTTGGGTATTTACGTATAAAAAAGTTCCTGAAACTAAGAACAAGACCTTTGAAGAGATTCTGGCACTGTTCCGAAATTCAAATGGCAGGTAAGCATATGTAATGAAACTTTAAGTTTTTTTGTCAGATTTTATTATACTAAATGCACATCTTACTATGTACCACGAAAGATCACTTGCTCTTATTTGCCGATATTAATCTACTGACACCTTACACAAACTTGCCATAGCCATTAGCACGCTATGCACATTTATTTTACATTTAAAGTAACATTATTTTGTAAAATATTTAATACAATGATTATAAAATAATTATTTAAGTATACGTACAATTACATATTATTGGTATACTTTTAACATTTCATCACTAACAATTAATGACTAAGTGGGTTAATTAAAATAATAGGAAAATTGTGATACAATTAGGTCAATTTAGTTTGATGATTTTAAATTCGTTCCAATTTTGCGATGTAAAATCAGGCATTTTATAGTATACAAGTGAAGTTAGTCTTATTAAGTAAAATATTTTACGAAAAATTAAGTATAATCATTATCAGGCAATTGGCAATATTTTTAAAACAAATACTTGTTATCTATATCAATCAGTACTTACTTTATAAATTTACTACGTATTTAGGGAATATGTTCACTGTACAGCATGTGAACATTTAACTTGTGCGAGTGATGATTAATGGGTATATGTCCAGGGACAGTTTTCGCGACAGCCGGCTGTATGGAAGCATGATGAATTGCGTGAACGCACTGGAACAGCAACTGCCACCTCCGCCACCGCCTGCTCCCGTTGACGAGAAACATGATTCATGTGAGAAACTCAAATACGCTTCGTGCCTCATAACAAATCGTAAGCGGATTTAATATAGCTACAATAAAATGTTCAAAATTCATACCATTTCTAAAATTAAAGTAATAACCAACGACGGTATAAAAGCACTTTATTAGTAGTGTTGGATCTCGTTCAATATCTACAAACTTTGCCAATTATATTAACTCCGCTACTGCTTTTTAATGTATACTTTCTACCGCTTATAGTTCAGAAAGTCAAATGATATCGATACTTCACTTTCTACATAAGTTCTGACCACATGCCCATTATTTTTCTATTTTAGGACACTGTATATCACCATGAAACATCACAATTTTCTGAAACATATTATTCTTAAAGTTTCCATGTCAACATGGGTAAACCTTTGAGTTTATTTTAGATTAAAAGCTGCAATCAAGCGTATGTATATTTTATATTTCTTTCTTGTTTGAAAATGTATTGTAATTTTGTATATTTAAGTATCTAAGTGAATAGAAAATAATAAATACCTATATAAATAGTTACCTAAGATGCGATCCCGCCTGAAAATGTTATGTAATTACTTAATTTGAAAATAAACAGAAAACCCATTAATATACTTAAAGTACATATTAATATTATATGCACACGTTTAAAGATATCAAAAGTTACCCGCGGCCACCCGCTTTTATTTGGTCAAAAAAACTCTTAATATCTACTTTAAAGTAAATAGTATTCGTACTTGTCTCTTAATGAATAAGCTTAAGCAGTTCCCTATAATAATGTGCTTAAAATAATTAATGTGCGTAAGGCTTATGGAGGAAGTATGAATCAGGAAATAATATGTAAGTTGGTGTTCGCTGACAGTGTCGGAGGTGTCGTCGGGCGCGGGGGAGGGTCGGCCGCCGCCGCCTCTGCCGCCGCCGCGCTTCCCCACACCCGGCAACGTCTGACAATGGGAGACCGCTGCGCGTGCGCCACTAGTCGCGCCCCTCAAGGCCGCCGCCAACTTCTTGTTTCATGGACTCAAGCGACAAGCCGCCGGCCGAGCGTCTATCACTACCACACAACAAATGTTCTAAATTGATGTGATTAGGTTAATAAAACGAAACTAGTTATTAAGTCACGGCATAAATTAATTATAGGTCTTTAGTCTGTCATTTTATGACATAATTTATGAAATGCATACTTAGGTACCGTATAAAGTGCCGTCGATTTCTTGTACCCATTTTAAATAGATCTTCATGAAATACTTTTACTTAAAAATAATTATTGAACAAATGTGGAGATTGGGGGACTTCAAGGCTCGATTGAGATTGAAGAGTACACAACAGATTCTAGCTTCGGATATTTATAAAATTAAATGATAAGTATGCAATGATGACGTTAATTCATTATATAAAAAATAATAGTAGATTCTATTGAATACTTTCTAGAAAACAATGGCGAGAATGATATAGTGCACTTGTTAGGACGAGTGTGCCGAGCGCGTACACGATATGAATTGAAAGTACGGATCATAATATGCCAACTATAATTAGAATAATCTAAAATGGGTACGACGAGAGTACATTATGCTTATGACAATGGTAATTGTCACTGAAGTGTATAAAATACGATGTACATACATGATGTGACTTTATTGTATTGTTGATTTTTATACATAATTATATTATTTTACGAAAGTTTTTATTCTCCTTTTACTCATAATAATTATTGTTATACCTAATGATAAATTAAAGTCATATCTAAAATGGCCGAAATATTATAATAAAATGTTTATTATTATGATTGGAGAACGTTACAGTTAATCGCATCTGCGGGAATTGATTATATCTACTTATGAAATATTGTAAATTATTAATTTAGAGCAAAGAGAATTTACATAGAAAACACGACACGCAACACTTGTTTTAAGTCAGTTACGTAGTATATTTTATGTTCCGAAGTTTAGAATATTTAATTTAATTTATAGTGATAAGAGATAATAAAACATATTACATTTTTAATTGATGAAAAGAATAGAGTATGGTAAGTTATACAATTTGTGAAGACTTTTAAGAATGTAAAGCTTTTAAACTTATACGCCCTAGACGATGAACAAACGTTTCATTATTTATTAGTTAGGGTTCAGTAGTTACTACAGGGTTGTAGTCAATCTGTTCGTCCGTACATCTGTTAACTGCTCAATTCAATATTTAAGACTTAAAGGTTCCGTAGCCTATCGTAATCGGGAAAGGTAGCACGGCCTAATATATGTGACTGTACACGAGCGTCGTATCAACGACTGATGGTTATATAATTTTAATTATATTAAAATAGTAATTAAGTCAAACCCCTTACTTATCAAAAAGGGTAAATGTTCACTATTATATCCTAAACTTTAAAATTCTATACCCTTTAACACAAATATCGATAGTACAATAGTTATATTTATATAACTTATCGATTATTATAAAAACTAAATAATTCGTTCAAAACGTACCATTATTATATTTCTTCTTAATAAATTTACCTAATTAGTTGAACATACAATATACCAAAAATAGTAAGTACTTAATGAAATCTGACATTGACTCGGCATCGGTTTGATCAGACATGAATGAGTTTTAATTTTAATGTTTTAAATTAGAAACATCGGTCGTGTATCGATGCTGGATGAACGGATGGACAGATTTGTTATTTGTTGGGATAGCAATCCCATTCGCTAGTGAAAAACCCTAAAACCTTCTAAAGCACTATCCACAGTATATGCCACGATTATCTGAAATGCCTTTGAGTTTCAATATACGGAGATTTCTCCGTACTTGTACAAAAGGAACTTGTAAAATTTTATTGGAACTAATACTTGTTATAAAAACGTAAAAAATATAAATGATGTTTGTTTTATTCTGACCCTAGTTAACGAATATAGATTTTAATAAAGCTTAAAGAACCTATCTACTAAGTACAGTAATGTAACAAAATAAGCACCCACCACTTTACAATAATTATCTCCTGTGCAGATAAACATGCCCTAATATATAAATATTAATTAGATACTGCCTCGGTGATGAAGTGGCTAGCATGTACGGCGGCACACCCGGAGGTCCTGGGTTCGAGTCCCGGGTCGGGCCAAGTTTAGTTATTGATTCTTTCTGTATAGTAAGCCTCAGTAGCCCGGAGTTGGGAAGTTGGCGGTGTTTCACCCCCGTGCCTCAGGGAGCACGTAAAGCCGTCGGTCCTGCGCCCCGGTCGTGTCGAACAGATGTCCCACCGGAGTATGACAGTGACAGGAATAAAGAGTGCACTTGTGTCTGCGCGTACACTTGTGCACTATAATATCCCTTGCGCAGTTGGCTAGTCTATTTATTATTAGTTAGATATTTTTTAAATATCTTTCAGTGTTATTTTTTTCACGTTCACGCAAAAATTACTAAACCGATTTCAATCTACTTTTTACACTATGTAATGATTATTCTTATACCGAAAGAAGAATGGGTTCCCGGATTTTCGTCTTAGGTATTTGTAAACATCTTCTTCTTCTTCTTCTTCTCCCTGCCCATTTCCCAAATCACTTGGGGTCGGCGCAGTACATCTTCAGTGTACTGCTGATAGGATTTGGCAAAAGTTTTACGACCGGCCGCCTGCCTGACGTCAACCCTCCTTGGGAATGCTATTGTCTTTCTTTGTCTGAATGGTGTTAAATATTATGCACTTTCGATTTTGTTGTGTTTTAAAACATTTTTTATACTATTAATTCAATAATTAATAATTAATGTTATTGTTGGGTATATTTTAAAATAAATTTCGATTACACAATAAATTTTGTATTGACGTTGTCAAATTTGTAAACATCTATACATATAATAAAATTGTAACTAAGTCGAATCTGTACATTAAATATTTTTTGGAAAATCTAATTGAAATAGACATTATTATCGATACAGAGTCCGAATCTATAGTTTTTAGAATTTTTGTCTGTCTGTTACCACATCACAGAAAAACCACTGGAGGGATTTTGATGAAATTTAGTATGGTGGTAGCTGGTTATCCGGGTCAACATATAGGATACTTTTTACCGCGGGAAAATGTCTCATTTCTGAGAAAAAATGCAATAACTGCAATGTAAGAGTATACTAATATATGTAAAACTTAAGAATTTGGTTTTTGGTCATCTGACGCTGGCGGAGCCGCGGGCAATGCTAATTTAAATATAAACACTTGTACAATAAGTTCACTTTTCTTTAATTTGGTGGCTTTTTTCACAGCATACTTTTCTAACCAGTTATTCTATGTCACTGACAGACATTTTTCAGGCTATTAGTATTTGAAATCGATATAGAACGAAAATAAATGATAAGGAATGAATAGTTTTTAACGAAATCTGAGAAAAATTAAAAATAAGACGTCACATAAAAGTGTTAATGTAAAAGGCTGTGTACTTCATAAATATATACATACAGTTACGTAGCATGGGAGGGGGGAAGAGAGAGGTGTCAAGGGACGACTGCCGCCCGACATGAAATTGAGAAAATTAATAATTGCTGAATAGGAATTTTGATTGGTCGACTGACGTGGAAATACTCCGCCAGGCGCAGGCCCGCCGCTAGCTGTTTGAACGCCCTTGTGTAATTCTGATCATGCAACAAACAAAAAGCAAATGTGTTGCATACTTTATACTTTCTTATATTTACGCGAATATTTGACATTTTAAATAAAACTATATTTTCGGATTTTTTTGCGGATTTATTTTAATCTTTGGTTCCCGAAATTTCAAATGCTTAACAGCAATCATAGTCACGGGAGAGACAAAATAAATCTGCGAAAAAATCTGAAATGATAGGTTTATTTCAAATGATTTGCATCATTTTTGCATTTACTGAACGGTTATTTTTCCACGATTAACTTTGGTTTTTTAAAAAGTATCCTATGTCTTACCAAAATTCATCTAAATCGGTTTAGTAGATTCAGAGATTACCCCCTACAACGGCACAAACTTAAACTTTACCTCTTTATAATATTAGTATACTCGTAGATAGATTGACGTATAATAATGAAAAAAACCATCTTAAAGAAATATTATTCAATATATTACGACACGGTCGCGGTTCGATACCTACGAATATGTCGTATTATCTCTTTAACCATTTGTCTAAATTATAAGCGGTAAACGGAAAAAGTCTTTTGTTTTAAACATTTTAAACGATAAATTTACTTATTTTGATAAGAATTCATAATAATTGATAATATGAACAATAAACATGACCTTTTATTATTTCGTAGGTTAAATCTCAAAATATTGACCTAATCAGATTAGCTCAATAATTTTTCAGACGGTAAATACATGTAAATTAGGCTAAGCTACATGTATTTATCGTCTGAAAAATTTCTTCTACGCGCATTATTTTTACAACTTTTAAACATATATTGCGGCATTGTAAACGTGTTTACGTTGGCAGTGTTTCAATAGAACTAATCGGAATATACGCTCACTATGCAAGTGAGGTGATATTTACCGAGACGGATTTCTTAAGCCGACCTGATATCTAGTAGATAGTTGATCGAAGATAAATAATAAGCGTCAAATTAAAAACTTAAGGATACCATTTTTTCGTTTTTTCCTGAAAAATACATTGGTGGAATCATTTTACAATAATTTGGTCAATAAAGTACACTTCTTAAACGATAATTAAAAAAATTGTAGTTTACAAAGTAAAAATTACCGATTTCTCCAATTTTTAAATTTTTTAAGGGTGTTTTTACAACACGACCATACGTTTTCATATTTTCAAAAAGTAGAGTTCAAGACGAAAAGAATGAGCCCTATCTGAAGATTAAACGATTTTTTTTTAATGTAAACGCCCTACTTGAAGTTGGGGGAGATTTTCAGCCTCTCGAGACCATAAAACATACTTTTCTCGGAAATGGCTAAACATTTCAATTTCATTTTTTTTTTATTTATTATATGTATTTCAAATATTACATTCTCTTAGTTTCATAAAAATCAAAAGATTATTCTAGAAATTAAGTAATTTAAGTAAAAGTGTTCTGTGATCATAAATCATAATTGCACGTACCTACTACAGAGTAGCAAAATAAATCATATGTAACAGTAGAAAAAATATATTTAATTATAGCATTTTGATAATTATACTAGTTTTTTAACAATAAAATAAAACACGAATATTTGATTGCTTATTTATTTGTATATAATATAAGTACCTAGAATGATTATTGGTATAATTTGTGTAAGTTTGTCGACACAGGTTCCGATACAAACATAGTTTTGTAGGCCTTTTTAAGACCTACAATTTTCTAGCACATAGCATCATAGTTTTAATTATCTCTTAAGATTTAGCCAGTGGTATACCATGTTATTTTATAAGGACGACTCGCTAGAACCAGTTATTGTGTTATCCCGTGGGAATGAAAGATTTTCCTATAGTAAAAGGTATCCTAAATGTTGACTTGAGTAATAAAAAAATTAATTAAAATTGGCTTAGTACTTTTTATGTAAATCGCACACATTATGATTAGATATATTTTTATGATTTTGTTATATTATTAAATTATTTGATTATCTCAATCCTATAAATGAATATAATATAATATGCAATAATAAATAATTAAAATCTGTACTTTTGTTAATCAAACTATCATGAAAAGTAAAGAGATATTATAATATAATAATAATAGTACACTCAAGTCAACTAATAATTATATTTAACTTTGAATTTCGTTATAAAAATATTGACAAATTATATAAAGTTAATAGCTGTTACTACAATAATCACTTTAATTAATTAGTGAAAAAAAAATATTAAAAGTTAACATTCGTAAGTTAATATACAAAATAGAACAACTGTGTAATTATGTATGTACCTCTGTTAATTTTAATTTTTGGTTAACTATAAATTTAAATACCTATTGCATATTTTAACTTATATTTGATAAGTTACTTTACGAGCTACAAAAAAATCGGTTAAGTTCGATAAGTAATATTACTATGCTACATCGTAAAATAAAGGAATCGTATCTACAAAGGCAACAAAAATATATTTTTTGAAATACCGATACCGGCCGGCCGTTTAAAAAGATAAAGCGCGTAGCTATACATATTTTGTTTTGAAGGACTCAAAGACAATATTTTAAAAATATAATTTGTAATCGCCATAGTGGCCTTGAGAGGCCTTACATAGAGGTACCTACAACATTGCGCAGCCGCAACTCGGGAATAGATACCTTAGCTTTTTCGCCATCTATCATTTAGACTTTAGAGCCTTTACATATACAGCTAGAAGTGCTAGATGTCGCCTTTTTTCAATTCTCACTTGCGCCATTTGTTATGCATTTTAGGACAAAAAAAATAGCTCGCTGAGTAAGCGCGGATTAGCCATATCCAAATATTTGTATGGGATGCATTTTCTGTACTAGTATAGTATTATCTGTGCAAGCACTAACACTAAAACAGAAACCTATCTATCCCACGGGAACTGTACATTTTTCCTGGATAAAGTAGCTTATATGCTATTCCAGACTATAATCTATCTCTGTGTCAAAATTCATTCAGAATCAAATCCGTTCAGTCGTTTTCGCGTGATCGAGTAACCAATATCCAAACATCCATCTAAACCTGCACATTTATTAATATTATACGCAAATTCGATAAATTTAAGACGCTTAAGATTTTATCAAATATTTTTCTGTTTTGAAAATATAAGTATTTTTTTTAAAATCGTTAAAAATTTAAAGGCATTTTTTTGACCTATGGCGCCCTTCACTTTCCAGTACCAAACAGGGTGAATTAGATATTTACTGATCTACAAAACATGAATAGATTTATAACAATATATTTACAATTATAGAGGATTAATTTAGCCACAAATAAATTAATAATTATAGAAAGATTGCATTAATAGGAATATAGCAGTTTAACAAGTTTGATAACTTTATTTTTCCTCAAGTTCCTTAAAACGAGCCTTCAGTTGCTTGGTGTAACTATCTAATCTATAAGCATTTGCTTCAAATTGTGATACTTGTGCATCAATTTGGTCAATTTGGAGAAGCAAGGGTTTAATAAGCACATTATCTGAAAACAATAAGAAAAAAATATTAAAAAGTATTAATATCATAGTATTACTTGTTGCTTTAAGAACTATTTTCTGAAACTTACATATTTCGTTATATTCATTTAAAGTTTTGCTGAGATTAACAGTTAAATTTCGCAAATCGGCATATTTTGTTATTGCTAACCGGTTTATTTCTTCCAGAAGATTGTAGTGGTCCTGAAATGGAAAAATATAATAATTAAAAGATAACTTAATTGTATGAAATGTAAATAAGAATAAGGTTACCTGGCCAGCAGCCATTTCCCCTTGCAAATACTCATTAGTCCTCTTGAAGAGCTGAGTAGCTAGACGACTAATTACTGGGTCATGAGGGTCTAACATTTCAAAACTTGAACAGCTTGTTGACATATAAAAGTCTAAAAAATATTAAATTTTATAGTGCCTTTATTTATTTAATGAATCTTTTAGGGCAGCAGTTGGCTGATCTATGTATCAACTTATAGATAAAATGATTTGTATTTAAATTGAGATCAGTTTTATTCAAAAATCAAATTAATTTCATACCTAGGACTAGACTACATCAAACAGTAAAATGATAACTTAAAGTTGAAATAAAGAGTGCTCTATTACATATACATACATACAATCAACTGATTTTAATATCAATTTAATAAAAAAAATCTATGTTTGGTAGGTATGAGAATAGGTCGTAAGAATTTTTCACCCTCCTACCCCTACCCCCCAGATTCCAATATATATTAATGTAAGGTAATTAAAAAGAAATTATTTCTCAGCACTAAAAAATACACTTGACTAATTGTAATGTCAATATTCCTGGATATGTCTGTTTATGTTAGCTATAGACTATAGTTGTATTATATATAATACTAGGTTGCTTCCCCATACAAAGTTTCATCCCCATTTTCACCTCCTTAAGGGATGATTTCCAAGATAAAAACTATTGTATGTCCTTCCTAGGGTCTCAAACTATCCTCTTACCAAATTTCATCTAAGCCTGTTTAGGAATTTCGGAGCCTATATGGTACAAACAAACAAACAAAAAAATCTTTCCTCTTTAGAATATTAGTATATTATAGAAGTATAGTATGTTTAGTTGATTTTTAATAATACAGTCATTTGTATGTCCTAGTATCAAATTAATCAAAATGAATTTTCTTTTCTATTTCCTTATATTCTTTTTCTACACTATTAAATTTATTAACCTGAGCTTCAATAATTTGCCTGGTGACTGGACGTTCGTTTCGATTATTAATAATATTGAAAATATTAAAATTTCCTCAACAAAAAAGCAATGATCTCTACATATGTTAATTCAGATTCAAAAAAGATTATTTATGATTTTTTATAGCTGTCATCGAATTATAATAATGTACGACATGCCCTATATTCTACCTTTGTTTTGCCCTTCTCTAGCCCACTTTTCAACATTTTCTTCAGACATATTGTTGTTAGTGCTCACACAGATTTTATTTACACTCACGTATTCCTAAAAGTAGAATGTAAAAACAAATTAAGAAATATGAAGTAAATTAATATTTTGTGTTTTGATTAAAGATATTACAGATTACAGACATAACAAACAGTAATAGATTAAAAAGGTTAATGGCTAATGCTAGACAGCTAAAGCACAAAGTTATTTTTCGACGTGTGCGAATATAAAACTAGATTAAGAATCGCGTAGAATTTATCTTATAATTCAAAGTGAAGTATAGTACGAAATTAGAAAAACAATTTTATTAATTTTTTATTATTAGAACAAGAACTTTTCCTCTTTTATATATTTTTTGGTCACTGAATACTATAATCATTTTACTTGTGTTCTTTATGTTACATTTTTACTATAAAAATATTTTGAAACAAAAAAATTGTGCAATTCAAAACCTAAATAAATTATTTCAATTTAAAAAGAAATTAAAATAAAAACATTCAGTCCATATATTTGAGTTAAAAGGAAGACAATTAAAATAAATTTAAAAAATAATTTTAAATTTGGAATACGAAACGAGTTCTATATAATTATTATTCGTATTCAATTGTATAGTTTGTTCTTTAGCAGAAAGACTATTGCTTTTGATAAATTCTTTAACAAACTGTAATCTCTAGAATACAAAATGCGTGAATGCATATCTATACATGCTGGACAAGCAGGTGTACAAATTGGTAATGCCTGCTGGGAATTGTATTGCTTAGAACATGGAATCCAGCCAGATGGACAAATGCCATCAGACAAAACCGTAGGAGGAGGCGATGATTCTTTTAATACTTTTTTTAGTGAAACAGGTGCAGGAAAGCATGTGCCAAGAGCAGTTTTCATTGATTTGGAACCCACAGTGGTAGATGAAGTGCGAACTGGCACTTACAGGCAGTTATTTCATCCCGAACAGTTAATTACTGGGAAAGAAGATGCAGCAAACAACTATGCCAGGGGTCATTATACTATAGGAAAGGAAATCGTGGATCTAGTTTTAGATAGAGTACGTAAATTAGCCGATCAGTGTACTGGTTTGCAAGGCTTTCTTATATTCCATTCCTTTGGAGGAGGTACTGGTTCTGGATTTGCCTCTCTACTAATGGAAAGGTTATCTGTGGATTACGGTAAAAAATCCAAATTAGAATTTGCAATATACCCAGCGCCACAAATATCTACTGCTGTAGTTGAACCTTATAATTCTATTTTAACTACACATACAACATTAGAACATTCGGATGCAGCTTTTATGGTTGACAATGAGGCTATATATGATATTTGTAGAAGAAATTTAGATATAGAAAGGCCTACATATACAAATCTAAATAGACTTATCGGGCAAATTGTTTCTTCAATCACGGCTTCTCTTCGTTTTGATGGAGCATTAAATGTAGATCTTACGGAGTTTCAAACTAATTTAGTGCCGTATCCCCGTATTCATTTCCCATTAGTAACTTATGCTCCTGTTATATCAGCAGAGAAAGCATACCACGAGCAACTATCTGTTGCTGAAATCACTAACGCCTGTTTTGAACCTGCAAACCAAATGGTAAAGTGCGATCCTCGACATGGAAAATATATGGCATGTTGTATGTTATATCGGGGCGATGTAGTACCTAAAGATGTAAATGCTGCCATAGGAACAATTAAAACAAAACGCACAATTCAATTCGTGGACTGGTGCCCTACAGGATTTAAAGTTGGCATAAACTATCAGCCACCAACTGTTGTACCAGGAGGAGATTTAGCAAAAGTACAACGTGCAGTTTGTATGCTCTCGAATACAACTGCAATTGCTGAGGCTTGGTCCAGATTAAATCACAAATTTGATTTAATGTATGCTAAACGAGCTTTTGTTCATTGGTATGTTGGAGAAGGTATGGAAGAAGGAGAGTTTTCAGAAGCCCGTGAGGATCTTGCAGCATTGGAAAAAGATTACGAAGAGGTTGGCATGGATTCTGGGGAAGGAGAGGGAGAAGGTGGAGAAGAATATTGAAATATTGCTTATTTTAGGATTATCAGAAGATAGTAGTAACGAATGGATTATTATAAAATCTAAATCATCTGTCAAAGTACATTTAATATACTCTAGCTTTCTTTTGACAAGTACCTCCACGAATTTTACTTTACAAATATTTAATTTAAACCTTTTATCTAGAAAAACTTAAATTCTTTGTAATATTCTAAAGCTTTCCTTTCTGTTTTTGTTTTAACATAAAATAAAGTGTATTTTATTAATTGGTGCTTTATCTTTTTAACCGACTTCATAAAATATAGGAGGTTATTGTTATAAATACTCTTTACATGTACATTCTTTTGTAATTTTAAAAAATATTCTTATGTTCGATTCTTATGTATGTCATTCATTCATATCTTTATGCTAATAAAAATGTCTTATGACTTTGTGTACTGAAGTTATTTTATTGGCGACGAGGAAATAAATAAAAATGAACCCTGAACAAATAGACCAATTACTTCGAAATCAAGTATCACAGCAACAACAAATAACAGAAATCCTGAAATTTTTAGTTGAAACACGAATTACCACACCCACACCATTGAACAACAATGGAACGGAATTGCAGGTAACTACCTCAACACCGACAGAAATAAATAAAATAGCCATCATTAATAATTTTAGAGGAGACAAATTTGAACCGTCAAGTAACTCGTCAATTGAAAATTTTATCGAATATTTTGAAGCCAAATGTAGAATAGGGGGTGAAAGTTACTTAAATATACAGAAAGACCTTTTATTATCATGTTTAAAACCAGAAACATATCACGAAATTAAAACAGCACTAATACCCTCATTCGAAAATTCTACCTACGATGATATTAAAAATAAACTACTAGATATATATAAAACACGTAAAACAAGATACAAGGCATTGACTGAATTTTGGTCTTGTATCAGAGATACCTGTGAAAGCATGGAACATTATGCCAATAGGTTAAAAGAACTCAGCAAAGATTGCGGTTATGATGACACTATATTAGAACGACAGTTACGAGATCGCTTCGCTACAGGGCTAAATCATCAACAATTACAAATTGAACTAAGACAAAAATGGCCTGATCTTATAGATACTCAAAACGGAATAAAAACAGAAGTAACATTTTTACAGTTATTTGCTATTGCTCAGTCTAGGGAACTAGCTGAAGCAGATATTAATACAGAGTGTAACATTAACAGAATATCTAACAAAACTGGAAACAGAAAAGAAGAAAACATACGGAAACCAACACGCAAATTACGCCTAGACCAATGTCGCAGATGCGGCAAGCACAATAGACACAGCTTTAACAAATGTGAAGCCAGAAATCATGAATGTACAGAATGTGGAGTTATAGGTCACTTTGAAAGTTGCTGCATTAAAACTGGCCGAGCGTACCTTGACAACTATAAACCGCTTAAAAAATCAACTAAGTTTCAGAAAAATAGGCACTTATACAGAATTACAGAAAGAGCAAATATAACTAACAGAGTTTCACAAACACCAACTTCATCATTTTCAGGTAGCGAAGAAAGTGAGGAAGAGAGCAATACCTACAAAATACAAAATAAAAAAACAAGCAGGTGTAAAAAAATAGATGTTAAAATTAACGGTATTAAGTGTACAATGGATTGGGATCCAGGTTCCGTATATTCCATCATTAATACTAAAATGTGGAGAAAAATTGGATCACCCTCACTAATGCAAGCACCCACATTAAAAGCTTACTGTAACTTCAAACTAAAACCCAAAGGCTTAACTGATATTACTGTAGAAGTTGATAACCGAAGTTTAATATTACCAGTAATTGTAATGAAGCATGCTGAGCCAATGCTCTTTGGCCTGCAGTGGAGTGAATCTTTTGATATGATTTTTCCGGAACCCGTTTACTCTATAAAAAAATTGCAATGACAACGAACATGTCACTTAGGCGTGTATTAGATACTCACACTAGGCTCTTCGACGGTAAACTAGGAAGAGTAAACAATTATCAAGTAAACATCCACATTAGAGAAGGAGTAGAACCAAAACATCTTCCTGCTCGTCCTATAAAATTTAGTATTAAAAGAAACGTAGATATTGAATTAGAGCGTTTGGTTAATGAAGGCATTATTACTCCAATAGACCCAAACATAACTCCAGTAGAATGGGCAACACCTACAGTTAATGTTCTCAAATCCAATGGTCAAATACGAATATGTGGTGATTACCGTATAACAATTAACTCAGCACTTATAAAACATGCACAACCCAGTTCCTCTTTTCGACCACTTACGTCAACGACTATCAAATGGAGAGAAATATTCAAAAATTGATTTAAAAGACGCATACCTACAATTTGAAATAGCCGAAGCATCAAAAAAATATCTAACAATTTCGACCCACAAAGGTTATTTTCAATACAACAGAATGCCATTTGGTATCGCAACTGCGCCATCTATTTTTCAACATTATTTAGACAAACTTTTAGAAGATATACCAAATGTAGCTGTTTATTTTGATGACATAGCTGTGACTGGAAGAAATGACAGCGAACACTTAAAAGCACTTTCCACAGTATTTACTCGATTGGAGAAGGCAGGTCTCAAAGTAAACTTAAAAAAATGTTCATTTTTACAACCAGAAATAGAATACTTAGGACATACAATTGACAGATTTGGTGTGCGGCCAACAAAATCAAAAATTGAAGCTATCCTTAATGCGCCACCGCCCACTAATATTAAAGAATTAAGATCTTTTCTAGGTTTAGTTAATTTCTATGAGAGATTTATTCCAAATTTACATAGCATTTGTGCAGATCTCCACAAGTTAACTGGAAGTAAAAGCAAATGGCAATGGAGATCTTATGAAAATGAAATTTTTGATGAAATTAAACACAGTATAACGACGTCTAAATCATTAATAGCTTTCAATGAGACACGCCCTCTATATTTAGCATGCGATGCTTCAGAGAAAGGCATAGGCGCCGTATTATTTCATAAAGCAAACAAACTTGAACAACCTATAGCATATGCATCAAGAAAACTTAAATTAGCAGAATCCAGATATTCAGTAATAGATCGGGAAGCACTTGCCATATTTTATGGCATTAAAAAATTTGACCAATATTTAAGAGGAACTAAATTTACTTTGGTAACTGATCACAAACCTTTAATACACATTCTAGGACACCAACGTAACTTACCAAAAATAGTAAACAACAGACTCGTGAGATGGGCTTTATTAATAGGCAGCTATGATTATGAAATTTTATATAGAAAGGGCGAGAATAATACAGTCGCTGATTATTTATCACGTATGCCAAATCCTAAAGAGGAACCTACAAGAGCTGAATTAAGAATTCATAAAATTGACGAAATTACACAATACGACAAAATAAATGATTTATCACTAACTCAACAACATATTAAGGAAGAAACCGCGAAAGATAATAGCCTTAAACAAGTAATACAATTCATTAAAACAGGATGGATAAATTTAGTAAAGGAAGCAGAACTACAACCTTATTTACGCAAACGTGAAGAACTTGCAATAGAAAACAATTTAGTTATGTGGCAGGGTAGAATTGTGATGCCGTGCACATTGCGCCTGCCCACGTTAAAATATTTACACAGAGGTCATCCAGGTATTTCGGCAATGAGAGCTTTAGCACGATTTTATGTATGGTGGCCAACAATCGAAGAAGATATTGATGTTTACGTTAAAAAATGTCATATGTGTCAAGAGAATCGACCAAATAACACAGAACTTCCTATATTTTCATGGTCAATCCCAGACAATGTATGGGAGAGAATACACATTGACTTTGCAGGACCGTTTGAGGGAAAGTATTGGCTAGTATTGGCGGATGCTCTATCGAAATGGATAGAAATTGTTCCAATGGACAAAATTTCTACAGATAAACTTTGCAATAAACTAGACGATATTTTTACTACGTTCGGATTACCACAAATTATAGTTTCTGATAATGGACCACAATTCACATCATCGCAGTTTCAAACATATTGCAAGCTTAAGAACATTGTACATATCAAATCGTCACCTTATCATCCACGAACAAATGGATTGGCAGAACGGCTAGTTCGAACTTTTAAAACTCGAATGGCGGCAAGTAAAGGTGACAATGACTGCCAAAGAAATCGCCTAAGAAAGTTCCTATTTACGTATCGCAATACACCTCACACGACGACAGGAAAATCACCAGCTCAAATGATGTTTGGACGCAGACTTACATGTGAGTTAGACAATGCCCGCCCGAATCTAAAGCATCAATTGAGATTTAAGCAATTACAAGCAGACATTCTGAACAAAAATTTTGACCATTGGATTTAAGAACATTAACTGTAGGTGTTGCCCATTCTACTGGAGTTATGTTTGGGTCTATTGGAGTAATAATGCCTTCATTAACCAAACGCTCTAATTCAATATCTACGTTTCTTTTAATACTAAATTTTATAGGACGAGCAGGAAGATGTTTTGGTTCTACTCCTTCTTTAATGTGGATGTTTACTTGATAATTGTTTACTCTTCCTAGTTTACCGTCGAAGAGCGTAGTGTGAGCATCTAATACACGCCTAAGTGACATGTTCGTTGTCATTGCAATATTTTTTATAGAGTAAACGGGTTCCGGAAAAATCATATCAAAAGATTCACTCCACTGTAGGCCAAAGAGCATTGGCTCAGCATGCTTCATTACAATTACTGGCAATATTAAACTTCGGTTATCAACTTCTACAGTAATATCAGTTAAGCCTTTGGGTTTTAGTTTGAAGTTACAGTAAGCTTTTAATGTGGGTGCTTGCATTAGTGAGGGTGATCCAATTTTTCTCCACATTTTAGTATTAATGATGGAATATACGGAACCGGGATCCCAATCCATTGTACACTTAATACCGTTAATTTTAACATCTATTTTTTTACACCTGCTTGTTTTTTTATTTTGTATTTTGTAGGTATTGCTCTCTTCCTCACTTTCTTCGCTACCTGAAAATGATGAAGTTGGTGTTTGTGATACTCTGTTAGTTATATTTGCTCTTTCTGTAATTCTGTATAAGTGCCTATTTTTCTGAAACTTAGTTGATTTTTTAAGCGGTTTATAGTTGTCAAGGTACGCTCGGCCAGTTTTAATGCAGCAACTTTCAAAGTGACCTATAACTCTACATTCTGTACATTCATGATTTCTGGCTTCACATTTGTTAAAGCTGTGTCTATTGTGCTTGCCGCATCTGCGACATTGGTCTAGGCGTAATTTGCGTGTTGGTTTCCGTATGTTTTCTTCTTTTCTGTTTCCAGTTTTGTTAGATATTCTGTTAATGTTACACTCTGTATTAATATCTGCTTCAGCTAGTTCCCTAGACTGAGCAATAGCAAATAACTGTAAAAATGTTACTTCTGTTTTTATTCCGTTTTGAGTATCTATAAGATCAGGCCATTTTTGTCTTAGTTCAATTTGTAATTGTTGATGATTTAGCCCTGTAGCGAAGCGATCTCGTAACTGTCGTTCTAATATAGTGTCATCATAACCGCAATCTTTGCTAAGTTCTTTTAACCTATTGGCATAATGTTCCATGCTTTCACAGGTATCTCTGATACAAGACCAAAATTCAGTCAATGCCTTGTATCTTGTTTTACGTGTTTTATATATATCTAGTAGTTTATTTTTAATATCATCGTAGGTAGAATTTTCGAATGAGGGTATTAGTGCTGTTTTAATTTCGTGATATGTTTCAGGTTTTAAACATGATAATAAAAGGTCTTATGACTTTGTGTACTGAAGTTATTTTATTGGCGACGAGGAAATAAATAAAAATGAACCCTGAACAAATAGACCAATTACTTCGAAATCAAGTATCACAGCAACAACAAATAACAGAAATCCTGAAATTTTTAGTTGAAACACGAATTACCACACCCACACCATTGAACAACAATGGAACGGAATTGCAGGTAACTACCTCAACACCGACAGAAATAAATAAAATAGCCATCATTAATAATTTTAGAGGAGACAAATTTGAACCGTCAAGTAACTCGTCAATTGAAAATTTTATCGAATATTTTGAAGCCAAATGTAGAATAGGGGGTGAAAGTTACTTAAATATACAGAAAGACCTTTTATTATCATGTTTAAAACCAGAAACATATCACGAAATTAAAACAGCACTAATACCCTCATTCGAAAATTCTACCTACGATGATATTAAAAATAAACTACTAGATATATATAAAACACGTAAAACAAGATACAAGGCATTGACTGAATTTTGGTCTTGTATCAGAGATACCTGTGAAAGCATGGAACATTATGCCAATAGGTTAAAAGAACTCAGCAAAGATTGCGGTTATGATGACACTATATTAGAACGACAGTTACGAGATCGCTTCGCTACAGGGCTAAATCATCAACAATTACAAATTGAACTAAGACAAAAATGGCCTGATCTTATAGATACTCAAAACGGAATAAAAACAGAAGTAACATTTTTACAGTTATTTGCTATTGCTCAGTCTAGGGAACTAGCTGAAGCAGATATTAATACAGAGTGTAACATTAACAGAATATCTAACAAAACTGGAAACAGAAAAGAAGAAAACATACGGAAACCAACACGCAAATTACGCCTAGACCAATGTCGCAGATGCGGCAAGCACAATAGACACAGCTTTAACAAATGTGAAGCCAGAAATCATGAATGTACAGAATGTGGAGTTATAGGTCACTTTGAAAGTTGCTGCATTAAAACTGGCCGAGCGTACCTTGACAACTATAAACCGCTTAAAAAATCAACTAAGTTTCAGAAAAATAGGCACTTATACAGAATTACAGAAAGAGCAAATATAACTAACAGAGTTTCACAAACACCAACTTCATCATTTTCAGGTAGCGAAGAAAGTGAGGAAGAGAGCAATACCTACAAAATACAAAATAAAAAAACAAGCAGGTGTAAAAAAATAGATGTTAAAATTAACGGTATTAAGTGTACAATGGATTGGGATCCAGGTTCCGTATATTCCATCATTAATACTAAAATGTGGAGAAAAATTGGATCACCCTCACTAATGCAAGCACCCACATTAAAAGCTTACTGTAACTTCAAACTAAAACCCAAAGGCTTAACTGATATTACTGTAGAAGTTGATAACCGAAGTTTAATATTACCAGTAATTGTAATGAAGCATGCTGAGCCAATGCTCTTTGGCCTGCAGTGGAGTGAATCTTTTGATATGATTTTTCCGGAACCCGTTTACTCTATAAAAAAAATTGCAATGACAACGAACATGTCACTTAGGCGTGTATTAGATACTCACACTAGGCTCTTCGACGGTAAACTAGGAAGAGTAAACAATTATCAAGTAAACATCCACATTAGAGAAGGAGTAGAACCAAAACATCTTCCTGCTCGTCCTATAAAATTTAGTATTAAAAGAAACGTAGATATTGAATTAGAGCGTTTGGTTAATGAAGGCATTATTACTCCAATAGACCCAAACATAACTCCAGTAGAATGGGCAACACCTACAGTTAATGTTCTCAAATCCAATGGTCAAATACGAATATGTGGTGATTACCGTATAACAATTAACTCAGCACTTATAAAACATGCACACCCAGTTCCTCTTTTCGACCACTTACGTCAACGACTATCAAATGGAGAGAAATATTCAAAAATTGATTTAAAAGACGCATACCTACAATTTGAAATAGCCGAAGCATCAAAAAAATATCTAACAATTTCGACCCACAAAGGTTATTTTCAATACAACAGAATGCCATTTGGTATCGCAACTGCGCCATCTATTTTTCAACATTATTTAGACAAACTTTTAGAAGATATACCAAATGTAGCTGTTTATTTTGATGACATAGCTGTGACTGGAAGAAATGACAGCGAACACTTAAAAGCACTTTCCACAGTATTTACTCGATTGGAGAAGGCAGGTCTCAAAGTAAACTTAAAAAAATGTTCATTTTTACAACCAGAAATAGAATACTTAGGACATACAATTGACAGATTTGGTGTGCGGCCAACAAAATCAAAAATTGAAGCTATCCTTAATGCGCCACCGCCCACTAATATTAAAGAATTAAGATCTTTTCTAGGTTTAGTTAATTTCTATGAGAGATTTATTCCAAATTTACATAGCATTTGTGCAGATCTCCACAAGTTAACTGGAAGTAAAAGCAAATGGCAATGGAGATCTTATGAAAATGAAATTTTTGATGAAATTAAACACAGTATAACGACGTCCTAAATCATTAATAGCTTTCATGAGACACGCCCTCTATATTTAGCATGCGATGCTTCAGAGAAAGGCATAGGCGCCGTATTATTTCATAAAGCAAACAAACTTGAACAACCTATAGCATATGCATCAAGAAAACTTAAATTAGCAGAATCCAGATATTCAGTAATAGATCGGGAAGCACTTGCCATATTTTATGGCATTAAAAAATTTGACCAATATTTAAGAGGAACTAAATTTACTTTGGTAACTGATCACAAACCTTTAATACACATTCTAGGACACCAACGTAACTTACCAAAAATAGTAAACAACAGACTCGTGAGATGGGCTTTATTAATAGGCAGCTATGATTATGAAATTTTATATAGAAAGGGCGAGAATAATACAGTCGCTGATTATTTATCACGTATGCCAAATCCTAAAGAGGAACCTACAAGAGCTGAATTAAGAATTCATAAAATTGACGAAATTACACAATACGACAAAATAAATGATTTATCACTAACTCAACAACATATTAAGGAAGAAACCGCGAAAGATAATAGCCTTAAACAAGTAATACAATTCATTAAAACAGGATGGATAAATTTAGTAAAGGAAGCAGAACTACAACCTTATTTACGCAAACGTGAAGAACTTGCAATAGAAAACAATTTAGTTATGTGGCAGGGTAGAATTGTGATGCCGTGCACATTGCGCCTGCCCACGTTAAAATATTTACACAGAGGTCATCCAGGTATTTCGGCAATGAGAGCTTTAGCACGATTTTATGTATGGTGGCCAACAATCGAAGAAGATATTGATGTTTACGTTAAAAAATGTCATATGTGTCAAGAGAATCGACCAAATAACACAGAACTTCCTATATTTTCATGGTCAATCCCAGACAATGTATGGGAGAGAATACACATTGACTTTGCAGGACCGTTTGAGGGAAAGTATTGGCTAGTATTGGCGGATGCTCTATCGAAATGGATAGAAATTGTTCCAATGGACAAAATTTCTACAGATAAACTTTGCAATAAACTAGACGATATTTTTACTACGTTCGGATTACCACAAATTATAGTTTCTGATAATGGACCACAATTCACATCATCGCAGTTTCAAACATATTGCAAGCTTAAGAACATTGTACATATCAAATCGTCACCTTATCATCCACGAACAAATGGATTGGCAGAACGGCTAGTTCGAACTTTTAAAACTCGAATGGCGGCAAGTAAAGGTGACAATGACTGCCAAAGAAATCGCCTAAGAAAGTTCCTATTTACGTATCGCAATACACCTCACACGACGACAGGAAAATCACCAGCTCAAATGATGTTTGGACGCAGACTTACATGTGAGTTAGACAATGCCCGCCCGAATCTAAAGCATCAATTGAGATTTAAGCAATTACAAGCAGACATTCTGAACAAAAATACAGAAGCTTTTAGACCCGGAGATAACGTTTATATTCGAGATAAAGTGATGAAACAGTGGAAGCCAGGTGTTATTAAGCAGAGAACACATAAATACTCATATAAAGTCAATACACCCGATGGAACAGAAAGGCGAATGCATGCAGATCATATTAGGCCAAGAGCCATGGATAGAGAAAATGATACAAAAGCTGAACATACACCAATCAGCTCAACTTGGTTTGAACACAAAGCACCAGACAGAAAACAACCAAATTCATCTGAAAAATCTACGGAACCAGTGACTCCGATAAAAGCCTCGATTCCTAATATTACACCCACAGAAACGATAACGATACAATCAACACCTAGACGCAGAAGCCTAATAGCAGAAACAATCGAACAAGACAGGCTAACCAATGAATCGAATAAGGATAGAGAATATAAAGCGATACAACGACGTAGTAAACGTACTATAAAACCGCCACGAAGGTTGATTGAAGAAATGTGATTAAGGAAGGATGTTAAAAAAAAAGTAGCCCCGGAGGAATGTTATAAATACTCTTTACATGTACATTCTTTTGTAATTTTAAAAAATATTCTTATGTTCGATTCTTATGTATGTCATTCATTCATATCTTTATGCTAATAAAAATGTCTTATGACTTTGTGTACTGAAGTTATTTTATTTTTTAAAAAATATTCTTATGTTCGATTCTTATGTATGTCATTCATTCATATCTTTATGCTAATAAAAATGTCTTATGACTTTGTGTACTGAAGTTATTTTAGTTATCAAATCGACACGCATGTATAATATACAGGTTGTTAAAACTAGCAGAACCCGCGGGTTCTGCTAGTTTTAAATAAATTGAAATAAAATACACGCTATAGAGCTTGACAATATACTGGGGGCTATAGTAGCCATGACATCTGGCGTGAAAAAAAAGCAAAATTCTTCCCATTATTATGAATGTCATGTTTAATCTGTGGTGATCGTTGGAACTTGGACTTTTCCACATTTCACTATTTTTGTACCAGCCCTAAATGATACATCTAATATCTATATATATTCTATAGATCGCAAACAGCTTTGCTACAAGAGAAGTACGGTTTATTACGCCAGCGTGGATAACGTCAAATCAAAAATCTAAATGACGTTAATGCAATAATAAAAAACTGATTCACCGTTACTGTTAATTGTTTGAAAATGGATTTCTTCCAAGTGAAGGCGACAATTGATTTCAGAAAAATGCTTATATTTGTTACGTTTTCGTTTACGTTTGTTGCAACAGGTAAGAGTTTTATGCTATTATTTCCACAACACGTTCATTGTATTGTCGTTGAATTTTGAGACGATGACGTAAATAATTGAAATAACATCCATACAAGGAATACCTACATAACAATTATTTAGCATAATTTTATTGTAATTCTAATTGTAGACTCAAGATAAATTAAATATTAATAAAGACCATATTAAAAGAGGCGCAGCACTTAAAAATAAAAAGCGTACTAAATAACTTAAAAAAAAAAAACAGAATAATTAGGAATAAAAAATATATCTTCTAAACATGTAAATAAACTATGATAGGCCAGAGTATTTAATAAATAGACCTTCCTCAATATCTTGCTTACATAATAAACTAACATTAAGACCCATTTTTTAGTTTATTAAAATATTTAAGTATTATTTAGGTAATAAAGTAAAACACTGTTTTGTTTAAGTAATAACTTAATTAATAGTTTTCTTTGTGTTATACTTATCAATTAGATTTGTCATTGTCAACTTTTTATGTATATGCGGCAAGATAATTTCTTCTAAAGACAAGATAAATATATAAGAATACTTTTACTTTATTGTGTAAAATTTTATCTTTTATCATTTGTTGTTCTATGTTCATTACTTTTTTTATGCTAATGTAATTGACTTTTTAAACATGTAGTGTGTATGCATTACTTAAGTAGTTTATAATAAACATCATAACAATATTTTGTTAGATTACAAAAGCTTATTATTGAACATCATTGGATTAACCAGTAAACTCAAATTGTTTTGCTATTTAAGTTGAATAAAAACTTTTTAACAAAAAATAAAAACCGACATCCAGGCCCTAAAATGTAAAAAATAACTAAACGGAGGTTTTCATTTAGAATAGATACCTAATCAGATATTTTCGAAGTTGGTGCCTGCCGATGCAAAGCAAATCCAATATATTATTTCGATACGTAAATACATATTTATCTATTAAATATTCATATCTTAAAATATTCTCGGCTGGCACCGACTTCGAAAATATCTGATTAGGTATCTATTCTAAATGAAAACCTCCGTTTAGTTATTTTTTACATTTTAGTGCCTGGAAGTCGGTTTTTATTTTTTGTTAAAAGTTTTTATTTTACCATTTTTAGTGTAGACGTAATAAGCAGGTAGTTTGTAAGAAGAAAGATTTTATATAACATATTCGATTAAGCAATTTATTTAAAAAATATATTTAATGTTGATTTTTTTAAAAACCGCTCAACCGATTTCGATTAAATTTGATATGGGACCATGAATTGATAACCTCCTCTTTTTTGGAAGTCGGTTAAAAATGGAATGGTATATTACAATAAATAAAATTACTTGAATTTTAACATTCAAATTTTGTTACATTGTGCCTGCACTTCATTCATACTGATAACAGTTCCTTCCTGCCATTTCAATTAAAACCAATTTTCATGGTGTAAAATGCTATTTAAGTAATAATAACTAATGTTCATTCTGTGATAAGAATAGTACAGTAGTTTTATCAATACAAACCCAAAGTTTTAATAACATCAATTAAAATGTCTATTATAGTTCTACTTTAATAAATCATTCACCACCACATGCTAGTGTCAGACTACTATTATAAATGCAAGAGTTTGTATGTTTATTACTTCTTCATGCTGAAATGGCTGGATGGATTTGTATGAAATTGAGTAAATAGATAGAATATAACCTGAAGTAAGACGTAGGCTACAGTTAGGCGCTTAGGTATACACCTGAGAGAAGTAAAGTCACCTTTTTATTATAAAGAAAATGTTTATTTTTATTTCAGCGGACCTGACATACACTGTTCACAACAGTCCATTAAGTCAAAGTTACAACATAATACCCCAGTTTGTACCTTATGAACATGATCGACTTCGTCGAGACGTCGATTCAGCTAGTGCCTATTCAGTGTCTGCCACATCAAGCTCTTCCAGCACCACATCTGTCACGCCTAAAAACACTGCCAATAGTACAAATATTACAAATGAGGCTGAAAGTAAGTGAATGATATTTTTTGCTGTGTATAAAAAAATCTATGCTGTATATTGTAATATCATGATTTATTTTCTATTTATACTATTACATTAACATAAATTTAACCTATCTCTTTAACTCTTTAGCCATTAAGATCATATCAACAAAAAAACAGAATTGAAAGAAAACTAACAAAAATATTTTTGATTTTTAATAATTGCTTGCTTTTGTGATATGATTTCTCCTACTTCATTCAGTTGCTTATTACAGATTGGAAGTTTTCTTTCGTTATCTTTATTATGCTCGACATATCCTTGCTCAAGTGCATCCCTAAGTTTGGATGGTTTATTATCCCTATGTTTGAATGGTCCGCCCGCGTAAAAAACAAACTCTTAGGTTTTACATATTAGTATACTCTTACAATACAGTTTTTGTATTTTTTCTCAGAAATGAGATATTTTCCCGCGGTAAAAGGTATCGTATATGTTGACCAGGATAACCAGCTATCATCATACAAAATTTCAATAAAATTCCTCCAGTGGTTTTTCCGTGATGCGGTAACAGACAGACAGACAAAAATTCTAAAAACTATAGATTCGGCCTCTGTATCGATAATAATGTCTATTTCAATAAGATTTTCCAAAAAATATTTAATGTAGAGATTCGGCTTAGTTACCATTTTATTATATTTATATGTATAGATAAATGTATAGATAGATAGGCAAAATAAATCTCATTGTATTACAAGTGTGCTACAAATGTCAATATGAATTAAGTTATAAGTAACAAATCTTTTACATAAGTAGTTATCATTCCATCCTCTGCCTACATGCATAAGTGCAAATGCCAGTCATTGTAAAAAGATGGAATACGGCAGAACATAATATAATTTGGTTATGAACCTTAGTCATATCAGTACTTTTGTTCTTTATTTATGAAGGATTTTTTGTAGCTTGTAATACAATTAGTAATTATTTAGGGTTTTTTAAAACTGCCAGGTTTTCTAAAATATGTAACATGTCCCTAGTTGAATGTTAAGATGTAGAAGAATGAAAAGGTTATCTTATCTAACCAGCCTCTATTAGTGCATAATTATATGATAATATGAAGAAGTTTCCATCAGTTTTGCGTGCGGTTGTGTGATAGTAACGATATTGTGCATCACTAACATATCAGACTACTATTATAAATGCAAAGTTTGTATGTGTATGTTTGTTACCCCTTCATGCCGAAACTACTATACTGCACAGTATGGATATAGTATAGTTAGTAATAAAATATGCCAAAAGATGGCGTTGTCTTATATAATACAAAAATACAAAAGGCATTTACGCACTCGAGCGAAGCAAGGCTAAGTCGCTAGTTCTAATAAATAACAAAACAAACTAATTTAACTTTCATAACTTCAATATACTCACATATCGTTGGCTCACAATTACAAGGTTCTATGTTACAATTTTAGTACTTATTTAGTTATTAATGCTACAAGGTTTTATGTGTCATTAGCTACAGCTTTGCAAAAACAAACCACTAGAAAGCGGCACTATAACTACAAAATATTCAATTTTACATAGTTCAATGTTGTTGTTTTTACGATAACAAAATAACGAGGTTCTATGTAAAAATTACTAAACTTTATTAAAATTAACATAGAACCTTGTAATAGTGAGCCAACGAATTATATTGGCCAACTTTATGGCTTGATTTTATTTTTGATCGACGCGATTTTTCTATTGATCAGCCATTTTTGTTCTAAATAAACGGAATGAAATGCGAAGTGGACGAAAGGATAATTAAAATAGATTAGATTTTGTTTCCTTTGCCTACAATACTATTGACATTGCGGAAACTATGCAATCACAAGTACATATCAATGTCACAATATATTCGTAAGTAAATATGTATTATTAATATTACTAGTAAATCTCGCCCTCGCTCGCTCCGCTCGGGTTCGTCTCTAGGAACGTTTCAACGGTTAGTATAGATTTTCTCAGAGATGAGATATTCTCCCGCAGTAAAAAGTATCCTATATGTTGACCGGATAACTATCATCATATCAAATTTCATCAAAATCGCTCCAGTGGTTTTTTCGTGATGCGGTAACAGACGCAAAAATTCTAAAAATATATATATAGAGTCGGCTTAATTATAATTTTATTATATGTTACATAGATTTAGTTAAATGTCAATCGAGTCCGTTTAATGTTTTAAAAAATTCCACGTTTAATTCATTTATTAATAATAATGTTTCTATGTTCTTTTGAATTAAATTGAGAATTGTGCTTGACTATATTATTTAAAAAAAAAGTTTTATACCAATTTTTCCTCAATCCTACGCTAATAGGTAAATAAAAAAACCCATTGGAATACCCGTTAAAGTACGATTATAACAAATAATTGTATAATTCATAATCCATTTTGCAATGGTATATGAATGATTAATTAATGAATGCGAACAAAAACTTTTTAAACGATTATTTTCGTTGAACCAAATCATTAAAGCGGTGTCGATAAGAGTCGAGAGATATAATGCTTTGCCTTTTTGCCCTTTGATTTATGTTGTTAAATGTTGTCCGTTTCATTGACTCGTAATGAGAACACTTTGAGATAAACGAGTTTACTTTACACCGGCTAGAAGTTTTACATAGTACAGAGTGCAGACTCTAGCAAAACAATAAAAATACAACCGTTGTACTTCAAGTATTTAAATACTTAATAAAAGTCCTTCCTACTAAATAATAGTTAGAAATGATATATATACATATTTAACAAAAATACTTATACCTTTATTATATTCGACGTTTTATTTCATTGTTATCAAAAGATGCATAACAATGGCGTCATTGCGATATATAATGACATAATAATGATCTACATTTTCTTTGACTTGTATAATTGTTTCCTTTAATGTGGTTGTATTATATTTAAAGGTTATCTCGTTTTAAGCATACTATTAAATGTAGGTATGTTTATGTTGCGTGTATGCATTTACGAGGACAAGTGAACTCACTCAATTATTTAATGTTTCAGAAACGTTATTTTATTTTACTTGACATATTTTATGAATATATATTTATTTTATGAATATTATTAATCCATACTAATACTAATATTATAAATGAGATAGTAACTCTTTTTGTTTGTTACATTTTCACGACTGAACTATTGAACCGATTTAAATGAAAATTGGTATGGAAATAAGTTTGAGACCCTGGGAAGGACATTAGATAGTGCTTACCCCGGAAATCATTCCATAAAGAGGTGAAAGTTTGTATGGGGAATCAATCATTTCTCAAGTAAGGGATATAAAACTCTTCCATTCCTTCTTGTTCCATACCTATGTATCTATATATAGTCTATCTATTCCATATTAACCGACAAAACGTACTTGGGGACGAACCCGAGCGAAGCGAGGGTGAGTCACTAGTAAAGTTAGAAACAAACATACTTTTTGATGCTGTTTGTGGTGCTACTTTTTATTATATTTTAATAGTAAGGTTATAAGAATCATCTTTTGCATTTATCAGCAAGCTTACCACTAGCAAACAAGAATAATTATTATCAATGTAAACATAAAGTATTTGCATGCATCATACAATGCACAATACTTGTAATACGGAGTATAAATTACCGAACAGTATAAAAGGTAGTTACGTACGTGATCACAAGACTAAGTAACAGTGACAGATCAGCTCTAGAAACGTCTATGGCCTATGCGACATGATTTTCGATGTACCTACCTTTTTTATAAATGATCTTTGTGTATGTGTTAATTGATGTGTAGTACCTATAAACATTATACATATACGAGTATGTTTATATTAATTATGATGTTACAAGAAATTTTGTATCCTTTATATTATAAATTAAATAATTGCGGCGAATTTTTTTAGATAAACATAATACTTATAATGAAACTCAAAACTGTTGTTTTTAGTTTTATTATATCTATATATTATTATTTATATGTTGTTGTGTATAGTTATAATGTATAAATCTAACTAAAAACCTTCAATGCGCATAAAGTCATCTCCTGTTAGTGTTTTATTTCAATTTAGATGTTAGAAAGTTTCTTTCAACTATAACAAATTATTTCAATTGAGAGTTCTGTTTGTGTTTTTATTAATGAGTCAGAAGCTGCCTTTGTTCTATATCGCGCAGACTGATAATAATGCAATCAAATGACCTTTAAGACAGCGTTTGTACTATAATCACTTGGCTCATGCGAATCCTTAAAATGCGATGTTTGCAAATGAAATATACATATAATTAACTTATGATGTTGCTGAAAAAATACTACATTGTATATAAGCTTTGTTGTCATTATTGTTTATTACATTATTATTTATAGTTTTATTGACATTGATTATGTTACGCGTATATTTTTACTTTATACACTTCAAGTTTTTACTTCCTTACTTTTCCGTGCTATGTATATGCAATTGAAATACCTAGGTACTTTATTGCTGGCTCATTATTTTTTATTTTTTCTCATAATGATGTATGTTGTTTCGAAAAAAATTTACATAAGACATAAGAATTTTATTATAAATAATGATTACTTTTCAATAAGTCCATATCATAGTATTTAAATAACATTATTAAAAAAAGTGTGAGTGTGTCACCTCCGACGCGATGCACGACTGGAGTTTACTCCTACATGAAACAGAATGTTTGATAAATTAAAATATTTAGTTTATTATTAAAATTAAATTAATAATATTATATAGAAATAATAATAATATATTTGATATATCTTAAACTCAATTATATTATAAAAAAATTAAAATCATGTTTTTTTTCGTATTCTTCTCAGCAAACTCTTCCATTTGATATCCATATGGGATCCATATGGGATGCAAAAAAAACAATCCTGTCGGTCTTGGATTTACAATGACGTAAAACGTTATGCTTTTGAGTTAACGCTTTTATTGGTCCAAGATCCCAGAGCGTCCAGATATTACTTAAGTTATTTTTGGTTATTTTAGCTGGTTATCCGGGTCAACATATAGGATACTTTTTACTGCGGGAAAAGTCAGTAGTTTAATTTCATCTACCTATTTGAGTTTATTTCTAGTTTTGTGATTTCAAATATTATATTTTTTATTTAAAGAATATTATTAGTAGATTTAATTTAAAAATCTCTTTGGTGGTTCTTGAGTGACGAGAAAGCACAAATAAAAAATTACGTCACTAATAAAATTATAATGAAAAATTCAACACACACTTAAAAACAATACAGAAGGAAAGTTTAGGGAAATACACAATGGCACAAAGAATTTCAGTACAAACATAAAAAGTCCACATACAATATCTTACGAAAACGATTAAATTATATTACACAAGTAATTAGCATCGAACTTAGTTACAATTTTATTATATGTATAGATATAATACGATAATTCTAGCATTGCATCTCTTTGACTCTTTTCGGATTGTATCGCTCGTAGGCAGTAAACTATCCCGTGGCTTGTTTGATGAACTAGCGCGTGGATTTTTTGATGCGTTTTCGCGGGGTGCGCGGGTGCAGTGCGCTAAGCCCCGCCCAGACACGCAAGGCCATCGGGGACACTAATCGCCTTAAGAGTGTATGCGAGTACGTTCGCTAGCTTGGTTAAGCGGCCCGTTTACAGGTAACAGGTAAGAAAAGTAGGCAAAAATAACTTACTTTTCTTAAATTCAAAGCGCTGATTTTTATATACATATGTTTTATAGAATATTATGAAAAATAACTCTTACTAAAAAATTCTTACCTGTTACCTGTAAATGGGCCTCCTAGCGAAGCTAGCGTACATAAACACATAATATACTCGTAGGAGTATCTATAATGGATAAATGAAATAATAAATAAAACAGAAATATGATTATATATATATATATATATATATATATATATATATATATAAATATAATTCACGTTAAAGTATAAATAATTTTCTCAAAAATTTTTTTATAAAATTATAAAAACAGGAGAAATTAAATATTTCATATAACTATTTCAGGTTCGTCTTCCATAGCATCAACAGTCGTGACAAAAGTACCACTTTTAGGAGTTAACGGCTCTGGAATATTACATGTGAATATAACCGGCAGTTCCAGCAATTCGCCCAAGGTCAGCGATCCTATACTGCCGGACGACGGTGAGTGTTTTTACCCGACTGCGCTACGCAAAGGAGGGTTTTAATGTGTTTATCGACATTTCATAAATAAGAATTATGATTTAGATGCTCATTTTTGTAATCTAAATCTAAGAAGTATAAGTTTGGCTTAAATAAATACTTCTCTTATGCTGTTAGTAGAATATGTACAAAATCCTATATCGAAAGCTAATATTTATCTATCAGCGTAGAAAATTAACTAATAATGCGTGAATAACATATTATGTGGTTCCAGCTTACCTAATTTAAAATAAAATTCATTAATTAAGAAAAAAATAATCTATAATAGTCACGTTTTACTATACACGCAATAATTAAGGTGCATTTAAGGTCTCTAAAATAAGAATTGCTTCGTCGACTTCCATATAATTTGTTCAAATTAATAAACTTGGCATAAAAAGTATTAGATTTTGGCGTTATGAAATGCCATTATAATTTAATATAAACTCTGGATTGCTTATTTAAATATTATTAACACCTCCAGGTAAATTTCTAAGAAATTGATTAAAATTCTAAGAAACCTATTGTTAACTGGCACGTCGGCGTATCCGCGGTCGTGGAGGAATTAAGTAATATTAAAACACAATAACAAATTAAAGACGAACGACGACGAATATAAGCGAATCCAACTTAGATTCAAATAGTTTTAATTCATTAAATTTAAATAGAGACTATAATCGCTCTAGTTTAGGTGTAGAAAGTAATCTAAGTAAATTAACAATTGACCCAGATACTACTATAAGGCTACTTCGCGCAGTTCCTCAATTTAACGGGTAATCTAATTATTATTCTTACTCGATTCATTAGGATTTGCGATCAAATAGTCTTAAGCTACATTAAATGAACCAGAGAACGAATTAACTAATTTATGTTTTATAAATGGTATATTAAATAAAATAACCGGTACAGTAGTTAGTATTTTACAGGGACTTTTAATTTACTGTACATTCAATCCCTATTTCACCCTTTTCAAATTTAATTTTTGCGACAATAAGTACAACTACAGACAGACTTACTTTTGCATTTACAATATTAGTATAGATGCGGGTTAAATATTTTAGTTAAGTGCTGTCTATTAAGGCCAAATCTTTTAATATGGGTGCGTTTATTACTTTAAAGTAGTAGTAAAGAAAAATAAAAGTGTGATTTTTATGCTTTTACGTGATTTTTTTTTCAATTTTTCTCTTCATAAGAACCACCTTCGTCCGACTTAACGAATATTTGAAAAATTAATAATATCCGAATCGATCCATTCGTTCTCGAGTTTTGCGCTTAGCAACACATTTAGCTATTCTTTTTTTATTTTTATGAAGATTAAATAGTTTAGAGAATATTTTAGCATTTATTCGTGCATCGAGCACTCATCGTAGCATGTTAAGCATAGACATATTTAAAGAAAATGATAATTAGACTTTGGAGTATTTCAAATAATAGATGCTGATTTAAGAGACTGCTATAATATATTTTTTTAAACCTGGTAGCTATTTCATTGATTAGCGCTTGTAATAATTTTTAAATTCCCCGTTATATCTCCCAATACCTTCGAACTATACCGCTTTTCCGTTGTTCCCAAGTCCCAACAAACTACAGCAAACCTTTATACTTCCGTATCCCTTATGGCAACCGATGGAAAACCATTCATGTACATGAAGGCTGAATGCCCGAAGTTCGGTCATCACCTTCTCTGTGAAAAAACCATCAATCTCTAGCCACGAGAATAGCCTGATTGCACCCATGTTTGTTGTCAACCAGTCTTTGGATAAGTCGTGCCGCCCAACAAAGATTGGTTTCACTAAAGAAACAATGGGGAACTACACGCTTATATTCTTACAACTGTTATAAGTTGAACTGCAGTATGGTCGGTCGACAGGAGTATGTGCCACTGTCTGGAAGCTACCTTATTACCATTCGATGTCACATACTACGGACAAGAGCCACTATGCCAGAGGAAGAATCAAGATAGGACAAAAAGCTTATTTACGCTGTGCCTGAAGGAACAAATACCCTAGATACAGTATCAGCAACATTTTCGCTAAGTCCTCAAATAGGTGTTGCTCTTGAGGTGGAGGTGTTACATGCGTTGCCTAGAAGACAACCACTGACATCGCGCACCATCATGAGACCGCTACGCGTGTGCCTCCAAATTAAGACTCTGCTACAGCATTTCAGTATCCTATATATTCCAATTGTAATAAGTAATAGGTATTCAATATGTGATTCTAATATCGATCACTATAATTGTTTTGTAGTACTCGTATTAAGATTAGATGTAATATTTTTTATTTTAAAAGTAATTTTAATTAAAATATTACGTCAAGACTTTGGTTTTTTTCAGTGCTCCGGCTATCATAAACGTAATTCACATCACAACATATGTATATATTTATTTTTATATTTACAATGTACATATTATATTTCTTATAAAGGCATATTATACCGTTCATGAGTTTCTCGTTGATGAAAATGTGTGGAATTAAATAGTTCCTCTATATACGTTTAGCTATATTAATTCAGCATTTAAAAGACCCACTATTGAGTTCTCGCCGGCTCTTATAAGCAGAAATACATTCTGAGTCGGTCACTCTTTATATTTAATTACGATTTAAATGTGGTTGCAAAAGTCTAACTTAATAAGGTTAATATTTATTTAATCTTCACAATCACACATGATACAGGTAGACTCTTGTGTGATAAGCATGGTACAGAATTTTTATTATGTAATGTAACGTTCTATTACTACAGTTCCTATTTGTATTTTACTGTTTTTAAAACAAGTAAACTGAAGGTAGCAGACACGCTAATGAATGTTAAAAAGTTACGCAATGTATAAAAACAACAATCTACATTATTTGGATACTAGTTTACAAGCCAGCAATATTACAGTAAAGATAAATAAAAATGCTTTAAATAATTTGTAGAATTGCTATAGTTTTAGTAAAAATTCTAAAGCATTTATCTAATCTAAGAAAGCATCTCTGACGTTTACCTTGTTTACATTTGTAAGTAGTATTATTATTACAGAGAAAAAGCTTATACTACCGTGCAGTAATAGGTACACTAATACACGCGCACTATACGCATGCAGTTCACCGTGAGACGAGATAACGTACCCGCTGCCCGTTGACAAAATCGGGTTTTCTGGCTCTTAAGTATTGACATTTGACAATATCCGGCTTACCGCGTCACTCTTAAAAGAAAACGCACACACTGCCCCGACATGTAGTAGTGTATGTATCGTTGGCGGTTGAATAAAGCTGTGTCTCCGTAAGGATATTTACTCATGTGGTTACTTACGTAACTAAATTCTTGTAGGAAAACAGTATATATAAGTGTTATATCTCTATACAATAAAATAATTCAAATTCGAATTATACTTCATTTGTCTACTATATGTAATATACAGATATATGTACTATATATCTTCGATAATGTGGTATAGAGTTCTTACTCTAATATGAATAATATTAATAATCGAAACTAAACATCGATCTTTTTATGTTTTGGAATAATATACAAATATTTTAGTATTCAAATTTTTGTATAAGTAGGTATAAAGCTATATTTATTAATTGTATTATTTTGTTTGTCGGAGATTTTAAGGAGCTACCTATTATTAAGTTTATAGTTATTTGCACAATAAACCAAAGACTGAATGTCGTTAAATTTATTTGTCTCCTATATCTGTACAGATCAGCTTACTGGATCTAACTTCTGTTCATAAAGTTTCATTAATTATAACAAAATAATAAGTTATATTATAACAAAATTCGTAATAATAACTTTGTTGACTACTTTTGGCTTGAATCATTGTGCGTAAGTATACATACATGTAATTGTGTTTTAGTGTGTTTATATGTACATTGTATGAAAATCATCAATTGATTTAAATTGACAATCAATACCATTTGATCATTTTCAATCAATCTAAATAAAATAGTTAATAAAAGTGTAATGTCACGCTACCTCTATCTATTCATATAATAAAATTATATATAAATTAAAGTAACAACTGTTTTAAGTATGATTGATATAAATATCAACTAAGACCAAATATGTAGTTACTGGAATTTTATAGCAGCACAAAGTTATAGTTAGAATTACGTCAATCAACTTACTGTTGCTTCAATCGTTTGGAAATATTTAAATATACTATTTTAATCTATGTATTGTCCTAGTAATGAGCAATAATAGGTACTTATTCTTATTAATATCGTATACGTAGTTCTACACAGTACACAGGGGAAGCATAATATAATATGTAATATTATGGTTTAGACTTTAGAGTAGTGATGAAACGATTATCACTTAGCGATTACGATTACTGCGCTAAATAATCGACGATTACGATTTCGATTACAATTAATTCTGTTTCTATTAAAACATACTATAATCGATATAAAGGAGCATAATATTAAACATGCCATAAACTCAATTAAAAGTTATTTGCTGAGGATTTAATAAGTAATTGATTATAATCAAATTTAATTAATATATTTTTTTGTTTAGAAAACATAATATTTTAAGCTTGTTGGCCGTCAATCTGCTCCTTTTTCCAGTTTGAAATGATTTGAAGATCCAGCAGTGGAAAATAACCTTTTTTTTTTAACGTTGGGAAATACATTTACGCACGAGGTGTGGGACTCACCGGCGTAATAAAGCCAGTACTACCCACTAAAACCCAACAAAACCTTCCCCCGTCTTAATGGGGCGTCGTAGGATCGCTTACGCATTCAACTACGACGCCCCGACGGCAGGTCTGCCGAAGCAGACCACCACAACCATGGGGTTGCTCCAAGGTCCACTCTGCTATCAGAGAAGTACCAGGAGCAACCCGCATGGTACACCGCCCACCAAACAGGGCCACCTCCCACCACCCACCGAAGTGGGCCACCTTCCTGTGCGTTTCTGGGATTCGCGCCCGGTTGGATTGCCGGGCACTACTGAGCCCCCCACCACGACAAGGTGAACGCACGTTGGGGGGGAGTGGAAAATAACCTCTCCGATGCTACGGAAGATGGTTTGATTAAAAGATATTTTTGTTAGAAAATTTCCAATACTGAACACAAACGCATAAACAATATACTTACATTATAATGTACATTATTTACTTATTTTGTAAATTGAAAAAACAGACGGCATATATAAGCATAAAATGCAAAATACATCAGAAATAATACACTTAGCCAATAAAGTTTCCACTTATACATAAATATAGCAGAGTAAACTTACTAACAATAAAATAAAAACATATAAATAAAATGTGTAGCTACAAAATAAAAAGAAATATATAAAAATAATATTTATCAGACTAGTGTTTTTTTTTTGATCAGCTATAAATTTCCTTAAATTATATCCAAATATGTCAAGATGCTTGTAGTAATTATTATAAATGTTACTGACTCTAGTCAGGAAACAATTCTTGGCATATTTGGTTCTATGAGAGGGAACAGAAAAGGCATCTCTGGATCGGCTGTTAGTTTGAGGGCATTTAAAGAATTATGCTCATTTAAAAAGTATGTGACATTAAGAATAGAAAAAAAATCTTTGAAACCATAATTGCAATGATAATCGTCGTTTACGATTAATCGTAATCGTTTAATCACTAGTTTAGACCTGTTAGAAATTAGAATAGACTAAGAAATTTAAATAACCACTTATAAAATCTTATTCTACTATATATGATAAAGTTATTTCTAAAGAATTATAGTAATACGAACACACTAGGGTCCGTTTTTAATATTACATAAATTTCTTTTGTTTTATAGATACATGTGTAAAATATGTATGATGTTTTTCAGATATCAGCGATGTATTCAGGTGGCTTACGCCAGACATTATTAAGGCGCAGCACAATCTTTCTGAAATTATTACTGTGAGTATTTACACAAGTGATACTATCATTTATTTAAGGCACATTGTATTATAATACTTTCTTAGATTTACGCGAATGTTTGACATTATTAAATAAAACTATCTTTTCGGATTATTTCGCGGATTTATTTTGATTTTTGGTTCCCGACGTTTCGAATGCTTTACAGCATCCATGGTCACGGGAGAGACTGAGGTGTTACATGTCTTAAAGATATAGTTGTTACAGACAGCCTACCCACAATTAACAAAATGAAAATTGCACCAATTACATTACAATATTTTTAACTTTAAACATTTTTTATAATTTTAATTATAATTGAATATGGAAAATTATTTATTTAATTTTTGCTATTATTTTTATAATTATTACAATTTTAAAAATATTAATTAGTAATCTATATTTAGTGTTGCCATTATTATATTTATAACCATAAATAAAAATATAAAAATATAGTATTAATTATTAAAGCCATATAATTGTTCTATGTGTAATTTAAAAAGTTAAAATTAATTACGGATAATCATTTTAATTTAGTTTGCTATTATTTAAAAACAACTTACTAAGCAACAATATTAAAATATACTTTTACAAATGAAAAATATTAATCTGATAAAAAGTAAAAGTATATTTTAATATTGTTGCTTAGTAAGTTGTTTTTAAATAATAGCAAACTAAATTAAAATGATTATCCGTAATTAATTTTAACTTTTTTAAATTACACATAGAACAATTATATGGCTTTAATAATTAATACTATATTTTTATATTTTATTTATGGTTATAAATATAATAATGGCAACACTAAATATAGATTACTAATTAATATTTTTAAAATTGTAATAATTATAAAAATAATAGCAAAAATTAAATAAATAATTTTCCATATTCAATTATAATTAAAATTATAAAAAATGTTTAAAGTTAAAAATATTGTAATGTAATTGGTGCAATTTTCATTTTGTTAATTGTGGGTAGGCTGTCTGTAACAACTATATCTTTAAGACATGTAACACCTCAGTCTCTCCCGTGACCATGGATGCTGTAAAGCATTCGAAACGTCGGGAACCAAAAATCAAAATAAATCCGCGAAATAATCCGAAAAGATAGTTTTATTTAATAATGGCACATTGTATTGTATTATGCATGGTGTACTGTAACTCTATTGAAATTATTTATTATGTATAAAATGTATTTATTGACCTTGGCGTTTGAAATGTATATTACAAAAGTTGACCTAAAAATCGATTACATTTTAGTCTTTATTTCTAATACATTTTCTATTTCATAAATATACTAGCAGAACCTGTTTTTTTTGTAGATTGAATGGGGGCGAAGCCGCTCACCTGCGTTCAATCTATAAAAAATAAACTTTTGCTTTATGTTATATAGCGGCTCACCCTCACTTCGCTCGGGTTCGTCCCTATGTATTTACCCTTAAATTATTTGGATATTGTTCATACAAAAATACTAAAATAGTGATTAAAAAATGGGGGGCAGTAGGGTGAAAAATTCTATACGATCTAATCTCATACTCACCAAATATACAAAAAAAAATCATTAAAATCGGCCTAGCCGTTACGGAGGAATGTGACCACAAACACTGTGACACGAGATATTTATATACATATTAGGTTTTTGTATCAGTTATATATTTTATACTATATACTTTGTAATCGTTGCAAAATATATTAAATATCTAACTTAATATAAATGTTTATATTATAGGAGAATCACAGCTTCTACAACAGTTCCTTCATCGGGAACCCTGATTATTTTCGAGAGTATTGGGCTAACATATCTAAGAATCAAGCCGATGTTCATGAGCTCCTTAGCAACTCTCATCGTCGAGCAACTGTAAGTATGTTTTATTATATAAACATCGACTACATCCCATACCTTTTTATCTGACTAAAACTTATAAAGTTCGTTAAGGTCTATAAATTAAAAAAATACCTTAGTTAAAATTTCTAGTCAAAATTCTATTACTAATGGAGTATTCTACGTTCAAGGTAATTTAGAAATGAGTGCAATTTTTATCATTGAAATAGTTTATTTGCTAAATTATTATTTCTGAATTTAAAGCTTATGCTACAAAATATGTTTTATTTCTATATGTTCAAATAGGCCACAATTCTTCTTTTCTTTGTGTTTTTTATTCCTTTATAATCAGGTTTATACAATAGTTGTTTATATACACAATGCCGTACAATGAATAATAACTTATCAAGTGGGTATTTCAACGCTGTTCTAATTATTCACAACAAACATTTGTAAATGTTTCATGATAAACAATAATTATTCAACGCAATTTTCAAAGTATTGACAAATATCAGCACTAGTTAATACGAAGCGCGAAAAGAGAGAGAAAACCCAAGTAATATAATTCCAATACAAAAATGGGAACAGTAAGCAAAGAATTCTCATACATTTTTCTAATTTTCCCACTCGACTATGTATAAACATGTTGACATGACGTGTCTAATATAATATACACTTTGATAACAATACCATTTTAATAATGAATACCATTGGCAAGAATTGAATGTATCACAGAAAAATTGAAAAACACCTGTTATATTACAGTTTAAATTATTTAAATCAATCGAGCCGTGCTCAAAATTATCATATAACAATTTGTATAATATAATAAATAAATATAATTTCTATTCACTCTACTTAAGGTAAAATACCAGAGTTTTCAGAATTAATTCGTAATAATAAAAATTGAAGTAAATATTGTGCACTAAATGTCCAAAAATAAATGTCCAATTCCATTTTTGACATGTTTTGGTTCTTGTCAACAGAACTTTCCTTAGCAGAATGCTATTGCATTTCTAGCCTGCATGAATGCATTTCTAGCCTGTGATAGCATCCTCACGCACTCACTAAACGGACTCTTCTTTTTAAATTAAGTTTACGATTTAAAAGTGCTTGTAAAACCTATCGAGTAAGTAGTAATCTTAATTCGAACCCGTGGCCTGCGCCAATTAATAGACGTTTTTTCAATCATTAGATATAATATGTTTGTCTATCAACTAAATAATAAGCTGTCTGAATGTAAAAGTGAAACAATTAAACTTTTATTCATCGCACAGAAATTTTGAATCAAAATGTGGCATTGATAGCATGATGGATGCCATTGTGGCATGATTGAAAAAACAAGGGCAACGTGAAACTAGAGACAGCGTGATAAACTAAAATAAATTATTATATTGCAGACTCTAACGCTGAAATTCGACTTCCCATTCTATGGGCACTCAGTACCTAACATAACAGTTGCGACTGGAGGGTTCATCTACACAGGAGACCACGTGCACAACTGGCTCGCTGCGACTCAGTACATAGCGCCGTTGATGGCCAATTTTGATACAAAACTAAGTAACGACAGTGTGGTGAAAATGAGCGATGATGGTTAGTTGTTTTCATTTTCTGTGTGTGTGTGTGTTTCCATTTGTATAATTGCGTTATAAGCTTAGTATTGCAATACTTCAAGATGACTATAGAATAGCATCAATTTGGTAACTTCTTCCTTTTAAAAAAGCAGTTTATTGTGCTAAGAACAAATGATTATTAAATCATTACAATATCCACTTCTTGGTGTCTAAAAATGTTTTTGTTATGAAAACAAATGGAATTTGCGTTTTTTACCCGACTATGGCGAAGCCCAGAGGAGGGTTATGTGTTTGACTTGTATGTATGTATGTCCGATCATACGTTCCTTCGTAATTAGTAAACGGCTTAACCGATTTTGATGGTTCATACGTCGTTCGATTCGTCTTTATAACGCGAATGTCATGAGCTATATAGATATCATTAAAATACAAAATGGCGGATCTAGGGTATTTGTGTGTCTAACATTTTTTCGTCCAAATCAATCAAATGAGGTCTAACAATTCAGGCTTTTAAGAGGTGATTACCTACGAAAATTTATACAACTTATATATTTAAATTTCATAAGTAATTTAGAATAAGAAATTGTTACATAAAACTAAAAATGTCTGACTATCCAAAACTAAAAATATGTACATTGTAGGTACATACATGTTTTCTAACGTCTGCGTGTGTATGTCTCCATCTGCATAATACTTGTTGCTTTGACAACTTGTACAAATTTTTTTAGTTCGCTTTTTACACAATCAGGTTTTTATAATATCTTGATTATTATTATTTAATATATTTACTCTGTTACTTGCTATATTTGTACATTTTGTAAATGTTATGTATTTATAACAACAGAAAAATAATTCAAAAACTTCAAAGAGATATTTATTTAACATTGAACATGTTGTAGGTGCCATATTTAATAATATAGCGTGTTTTAATTTTACCTTTTTTTATAGGATGGAAATTAGCGTTCTTAAGTTATCTACAAATCTTAGTGGGTTTAAACAATTTAATAATTATCTAATAATATTAAATTTTAACTCACTCAAACGTAGCAATTACAATTTGAAATTATTAATAAATAAGTATAAGAATACTTATAACTATATTCTACTTACAACAATATTCTCATATTTAATATAATTTATTTAATAATTTTTGAATCAGGTGAGAAATTCAGCGTTTTTTGGGAAAATGTAACACTGCAAGAGAACCCCACTAAAAAGTTCACGTTTGCTGCGACATTATACAAAAATGGAGACATAATATTCGCATACAAGGATATACCAATAATCGTCCAAGATATCAACGACACGGAGCACCCAGTGAAAGTAGGCATAAGTGATGCTTACCTAAGCGATAAAATATTCTTCCGTAAGTATTTTTATTTATGTATAAACGAACAAACGGATTAGCTTTATTAGTTGTAGTTTATATATCTACTCACATTCATGACATGTTGCCATGTTATGCGCATTTTCATAAAAATTATTTACATCAAAATAATTATTTTAAATAGCTGTTTACATGTTTATATTATTGTAAAACAACAATATTTACATTTGAAAACATAAATGAAGATAATCTCTGTATTTCCAAAATAGATCAAGCTTATTTATGTTAAGCTCAGGATTTTAATAAAAAGGCTACTGGATTGTGAACACGACGACGACAAAGAAATCTCATTTTTTGGATTCAAAGTTATTACTAACACTAAAGTATTTGAGAAAATAGTTTTACAACAACTATCATTATCTATACATCTATACAGATAAATAAAATTGAATTGTCTGTTTGTAATGTCAAATTAACAGCGTTTTACTAAATGCATATGAAATTTTTATCTGTCTGTTTGTTCCGGATAATCTCTGAAACGGCTGGACTGATTTTTATGGGACTTTCACTAGAAGATAGCTGATGTTATAGGGAGTAACATAAGTTACCTTTATTTTAGAAAAATAATTACCGTCCCGCTCAAAAAAATTAAAAGGTACCCAGGGACGAACCCGAACGAAGCGAGGGTGAGTCGCTAGTAACACATATGCATCAAGCACAAGCCATGTAACAAATGTCAGTGTAAAATAATCACCGTTATTAAATACAGCAACAGTTCCATTAATACATTAAATATTTAACAGATGTAAGGCGTAAAACTATCTATGAATACCATCGTGCGTCTTTCAAGAACCACGAGATAACCAACAATACGATACTCAAGTTGGTCGCTCTGCCCACGTGCCTGCAGTACAACTCGTGCCAGGAGTGCGTCAACCATGACACGGGATTTAATGTAAGCATTTAGTTTTTTTTCTTAACGTTGAGAAATGCATTAACGCATATTACCTGCACACCTGCACCTGTAAGGCAGTGGTAGTCCAGTGGTAACGCGCTCGCTTGGGAAACCGAGTGAAGCGAGTTCAAATCCCTGATATTAGCATGTGTGAATCATTTCTAACATGATTACCACTTGTCTTACGGTGAAGGAAAATATCGTGAGGAAACCTGCGTGTCTGAAAGAACCTAGCAAGTTTTCGAAAGACATGTGAAGTTCGCTAACCCGCGCTAGGCCAGCGTGGTAGACTACGGCCTCATCCTCCTCGTATTGAAGCGAGGCCCGTGCCCAGCAGTGGGACGTTAAAAAGGGCTGAATACAACACAATACATATAACCTGCATACATACAGCTGGTTATGTGGGACTCACCATCGAGAGACGCCAATACTACCCACTAAAACCCAACGGAATCTTCATCTTATTTATGGATCATTAAAGCACTCAACGACGCTCCTTCGGCTGATCTACCGAAGTAGACCATAATAACCATTGGGTTAGTCACACGGTCTGGGGGAAGTACCAGGACAACACACTGCTTCCCAGTGTCTTCGCTTTACGCCTAATGACAAAATAAAACTGTTTCATTTCTTTTTTGATAACAATAAAGCTCGTCAACTAGCTACTAAACCAAAAAGAAAAAAATCGGTTGAGAGAAGAAAAAGATACGGTACTGTTTTGTCTTTTTATTAATTAAATTTGTCCTACTTACTATTTGTATATGGAATATTTCATAAAACAAAGCCCTGCAAACGTTCTGCTCTTCTCGGTCTATATATAAAATATATTAATAACTAATAATAACTATTTTTTCGTACTATAACATCAATTTTACTTGTATAAATCATCAGCTATAATTTCATTTTATTATTTGCTGCAGTGCACATGGTGTGAAAATATTAAGAAATGCTCGAGTGGAACCGATCGCAATAAGCAAGACTGGCTAATAAGAAGTAAGTTTCTACACGTTAATTTCATTATCATCAATATTCATTATGGATGAAAGTTGAACTATAAGGTCATATATATGATCATAATACTGGAGTACAAATCGTAAATAGTTATTTCCTAGCAGCTAATCTAAATCGATATATGAGTGAATGAGTATTTTAACTAATTCACAGCGTCACAACATTCACATTGATGCATCCCTAGATGCCTAACGGCTACTCCGGGTCGTAGTCTATCTATGTACAAATCAGTAATCACAAACCTCATCCAATTTCGGTCGATTCAGCATGAAGTTAGCAAACACACACAAGCAAACTTTGTTCCTCCCCATTTCCACCCGCTTTGGGGATGATTTCCAGGATAAAAATTCTATGTCCTTCCCAGGGCCCCAAACTATCTTCTTACCGAATCTCATCTAAATCGGTTCAGTAGATCCAGAGATTACCCCCTACAACGTCCAATAAATATTAATAACTGTGATATTTTCAGACTGGGACATTTTATACGACGTAACTCTAATGAGCATGAAGTCACATTACGTATATATTTGCAGACTGCGAAAGGAGCTCGATATCGAACGAGTCGTCGTGTCCGGCGAGCGCGGGCGAGACGCACGTGGACCCGCCCGCCGGCGGCAACACCGCCTACACGACCGACACGCGGTCGCCCCACGACACAGCCGTCGTTAATGCCGGTAAATTGATATTTGATAAAACATATATGGATTTTTTTTATTGTATTCAGCCCCTTTTAACGCCCCAGTGCTGGGCACGGGCCTCTCTTAAATACGAGGAGGATCAGGCCAACTTTTTGTATAAGAAATCATATTAACTATTATATATCGGAGAGCTAAAATAAACAGTATTTTGAAAAATGAACAGTATATAATTCTTTTTAAAGTTTTTAAAACATATTTTTTTGAGCTTCTTGCACAATTTAATAATTCGTTGTCATTTTTTATTCTCTCCATTTTTGGCCAGCAAGTATTTATATCCACTGTACCTATTTTTCATAAACAAGTTGGAATTGTATTAATTCTGAATATAATTTATCAATATAATAATATTGAGTCTGCTAATTAAGACTTAATTATTTCAAAATGATCAAAGACGCCACACTTGTATGACAGCCTTTTATGGCCCCAGATCCAGCGATGATAAAAACTGTATTTTGTATACTTTTTTTAAAATTAAACAGTAAAAAGTATTTTAGAGCTAAATAACGTAACATACTGTTTTTAAAAGTATGGTTGGTAACCCTATCCACCACGTTGGCCAAGTATGGGGCGGCGGACTTCACATGTCTTTCGAAAACTTGCTAGGTTCTCTCAGATATGCAGGTTTCCTCGCGATGTTTTTCTTCATCGTAAGGTAATCATGTTAGAAATGATTCGCACATGCTAATGTCGGAGGTGCGTGACCCGGGATTGTGACATACTAAATATGACTATTTATGGACATTGTAGCAATATTTCATCTGAAAGAAAATTTGGAATTTCAATGCCATTACTATTTGTATAAATATATATGCACATAGTATAATAATAAATGATTTATAAAGAATACAAACTGCCAACTGCGTTATAATTCTATATGATTTAAAAAAATACGGAATTTTGAGACTATTAACTATCCTTTATGTTATATGAAAAAAAATGCGACGGATTGCTAATACCAGCTTTCATAGACAAATATTCGAACTTCATCCCATATTTTTATGAAGTATCCAGTGAACGATCAAATGCTGCAAGTGTCCTTTTGTCATTTATTAATATACCCAATACCCGCAAGTTTTAATTTATCCCTTAACTAGTGATTCACCCTCACGTGGGTCGGGTGCATCCCTAGGTCCCCCCCTCCCCTTTCATTTGCTTAAGGAATGATATCTGGGTTAAAAACTACAGGGATAGATCCTATGTCCTTCCCATCGTCTCAAACTACATATCTCCATACGATATATCGTCTAAATCGGTTCAGCCGATTAAGCGTGAAAAGGTAAAAGACAAACAGACATTATCACAAATCACAGAATTACTTTCGTATTTACAATATCAGTATCACTACATAGTATAAAACAAAGTCTCTTCTCGCCGTCTGTCTGTCCCTATGTATGCTTAGATCTTTAAAACTACGCAACGGATTTTGATGCGGTTTTTTCAATAGATAGAGTGATTTGAGGAAACTTTGTATGTATAATACAAGTATATTATAGTACAGAAAAGTCGAGAAATTCAAAGATTTTTATTTCATAATAACCGTTATAACGTACTCGCTAGTGGATTATGAATGCTTGATGAGTTCCCTTATTGCAAATGCTCTACGACTGCAGTGGAGTCGCAAACGCCGCAAGTGTCAAAGATGAAGTACCCGGCGGGTGCGGGTCCGCCGGAGGAGCAGTACGCGTCGCCGGTGGGCGGCGTGGTGGCCGCCTTCCTCGCGGTCACGCTCGTGTGCTGCCTCGCCGCCTGGCTGATGTACGCGTTCAAAAACCCCCACACACGGAGCGGACAACTGCTTATAAAGGTATGGCTTGTATACACGCTGGTTTTTGAAGTAAAACTTCTTTACGCACACTAGACTTGGGGGGGTAATCTGGTGAATGCGTTACGAAAAAATGTACGTACGTTTGTTGCCATGGTAACCGTTGTTATTGTCTGACAAATGATATAGTATATTTTATTCTTTCCTTAAATGGTATTGTACAAATATATGATTGTAAAATGTTTATATGCGTTGTGTTTTAGAATTAAAATTATGCGTTATTTTTAATTTAAAACATAAATTGAATTTCATAAAGAGTACCGATAACCTACAGAAGTTTTACTTCTTGCGCGTGTACACATTCATACACGCACTCTTTAATTTTTCTTGTATAGGAAAATTTTCATATTTTCTAGGAAATAATTGAGCTTTAATAAATAAGTTATTGGATATATCTTTAGTATGTTTTATAAAGTACTAACGATTTATTGTCTATTAGACTCAAATGGGAACAGGTATTTCTGTTGCTGTCTAACAGTAGCCTACTTATTATTGTACATCTACTTGTTTTACTTAATTTAGTAACAACATACACGCACACAAACACACACGTACAACCTTCGCATTTTTCGGGTACAGAATAAACTATAACCTAAAATTCCAACGAACCAACGAATTCAAATATTTTGAATAATTTCATACAAAATACTAAAAACAATAATATAAATTATTAATTTCATGTTACAGTACCGTCCATCGCAATGGAGCTGGCGTCGCGGCGAGGCGCGCTACACGGCGGCCACCATACACATGTAGAGAAAGGATACAAACAAACACACAGCGTATGCAGTACAGCGGTATACTGCACGTTTTCTTACGGTATTTTAAAGCTATATTATTTAGTGTTTACAATATAAATATCAGATCTGAATTTATAAATCTATATATTATAGTATGTAGGTATAATTTGTTAATACAGTAATTTGTTTTACGTTAATTTCATGCGTGATATAAGTGATTAGGACAAAATATATGTAATCTACATAGTCAGTGTAATAACAAAATGTCTCGAATTTAACGTTTTGTTTGTTATTTTGAAAACACATGGAGCACATGGAATCCATTAAACAACTTATGTAATTGAATTAACAAAATAATGTCCATGTAAACGATATTATTTTTGAATTTATCAATGTCAAACGGGTATTAAAAAATTCCATTTATTAAAAAAAAACTTGTACAACAACTTATCTACAGGTAAGTAATAGTTTAAAACTCATCTAACTTGCTATATAAGTGACTTATTGATGTATTAATTAATTACTTATTTGAAGATGAAAATAAAATTAAAACGTGTGGTATATTGATGTATAACTGGCTTCACGCAAATATCATTATCCATAGCATCCGTGATCATATCTATAGACTAAGACTTGGCATTAATTATATAGGCATATCTATTGATAACAACATGCCCCGCCATACCCAAATGATGCTCTGAATGACCGCTCTGAACTACCGTTGCTAAATGCCATTCATGTACAAATACTATAATAGTCTACAGTAAATCACGACTTTCTCTTAATGATTAATAACAATATGAAGCTTCACGAGTTGCTTCGTTTTGATGAAACGCCCAACTTTTCTCTCTACTAAAATTTGATGTTGGTTGATACAATTGTGGGTTGATAAAGAACATTTGGAAATGGTTTCTAAATTATTAATAATAATATATAAATACTATGAAAATTGACCCGTTTTTAATACAGTTTAGGACGTTATTTTAGCATGAGAGGGGGGCGTTTAATCCAAACCATCTGTTATGTAAGACAAAATATTGCTTGTTTTTTTGTTCGAGTTTCTCAAGATTAAACACAAAATCTGTTAGTAATAAAATTTAAACAATCACCATAACGACATGTTCCTTATCAACCCACACTTGTATCAACCAGTATCAAATTTTCGTTGAAAAGTTGGGCGTCTCGTCAAAACGAAGCCGCTCGTGAAGTTTCAGTTTGTTATTAATCATTAAGAAAATGGCGTGGTGTGCTGTAGACTATTGTTCTAGATAATAATAAATAATAAACTATGAGCTTTGATGACATCCATGTGATAGATGAGGAGGATGTTTTGGATTTAGGCAATTTGTTGCCATATCGGACTTATATGACAACAATACAATATTCACTTAAAGCTTTATGCGTATAGTAGTTCAGATCGGTCGTAATGTCAGATTGGGTATTGATTGAAAAAAATACTGTTATTTAAACAAATCTTGAATTACAACACTTTATATTAATATTAATTGGCAAATTATTTTCGATAATTCTATTAAGCCTTTAAGGTACTTAGTTTTTTTATGTTAGTGCTAATTTAATAGTAACTATCTTGATTGGCCTCCGTTACTTGAGCGATATATTTTATTATTATATAATCAGTAAGCATGGTATTACATCACGAACATATGTATATGTATGTATTGTACAAAGGCAACTTATAGCAGCTACAAGAAAATCCTGGCGTATAATATAATTTGACTTACATAAATGCGAAAGAATAAGATATTCAAACTTTGACGTCCCATTGTCGTACAATGTAATAGCCGACCCTTAATGATTATTTTTTCTATTTTATTATTTAATAATACTACTGGCGCACTGTGGCTAGAACCTTTCTAGCTATACTGATAATAACAAACAGTATATTATAATTCTTATAGTAAGCATAATTGAGGTAAAGGCTTGTATTGCACGTATAATATTTTTGTTTTCAAAAACATTAAAAACCATAAATGATTAAATTTATTGTCTGAATAAATAGAAATAAGATAAAATTATCACCTCTCATTTCACTTTGAAAGCTTATTTGTGCTAATTATCTATTGGTGTTTTATAAAATAACGTCTTTGCTGTATATGTTCTGTGGCGATTTGTATACAAAAAATGTAATAATAAAGAATTGTCGTATGTCCGTCCACGGAGGAAATTTGTATGTAAACTCCGAAATTATGTATAAACAAATTGAATTAGAAATCTCTCTCTAACAAACATTCAAAATCTCGATTGTCAAGCCACTGGCAGAAAGCGATATACAAAATTGAAAATTATATTTGCAGCTTACGGTGAATCACTTAATCTTTTTGTTCGTATATGGGTTTTTTATGCCTGAATCAATTTTTTTATTACTATTGTATCATGGATAATGGCTCATATGTGCCTTTGAGTTCCGTAAAGCAACTGAAATGTCCGTCCTCTCTTGAATATATTATATTAACATTATGTATAATTATTATATAATATACTGTATACTGTACAATAAGACTATACAATTTATATGTAAAAATGTAATAAATTTATAGTTTATAAATTTAAAAAAATATATGCTACTGCAATATTGTATAATTATATAGTTTTTTTTGGAGCAAGTTTATAAAATATACAAATGGTTTATTATTATTACCTGTATATAATATAGTACAATAAGAATGTGATTACATTGGTATATTCAATTAAGATATAACATTATAAATTTGAGGATTTTTATTAAATAAAATATTGAGCATTTTGGAAATTATAAAACTATACATTTTCCATAATAATAATAAAGTTACAATAATAATTTTTAAATGTGTTTCGAAAGCTCTATTAAGTAAAAACAATAAAATATAATATACTAACAATAAAATGTAATATACTACTATATTTTTGCGGCCTATGTCGGCCGCCTTGTAATTATAGACAACAATATATATTTTTCAAGTGGGAAGTGCATGAAGTATATATCTGTAATCACAATCTTTATCCTCACGAATACATACAGTTTGTATTAAAATATAATCCATTTTCTTATATATTATTGTGCGAAGTATTTGTTAAAAATAAAGCTATTAACATATTTTTAGAAGTTAATTTTTCTGTTCTGCTGAATTTGTATTAATGTCGATATAAGAAAAAACTTAATGCTTCTTTCTGGTAACGACATAATCATTATCTTTTCTGAAGACAAAATTAAAATTGAATATTCTAAAGCAACAGATTGATGCCTTAGTTCTCATTTATTTCCAGCAGTTCAGATAAACGTTTGCTTCTAGAAGTCCAAATTAGAATAATTTTGGCATTTGGGTATATAATTTATAATATGAACACTAAAATCTTTAGTGTAACCATTGAATGGTTCTACTTTTGTGTTGTTTTTGGACTTAATCTTACGGAACTCTAATTTGGGTTGCACTGAGTGCATTTGTAACCAAATTACTGTTTTATTTTGTACGATCTTGGCTAGAATAGATAAGGTATATTATACAATGGATATTAGAGTGATATTATATGTAAAAATATGTTTTTATCGACGTTATTTTATTTTGTTTCTCTTTAAAGTACTTTGAATGATTCATTTCGTAAACGATGCGATAGCACACCAAAGATGGTTTAAACAGCAGACATACTTACTGATGTGATATCTCACATTCAACGGGGTTCATCACCGTTCAAGATGCAAAATTTGCGAAGCTTACTTTTGTGTGTTTAAAACTCATTTGCGTTGTAACATTTGGTCCATAGTAAAAATTTATTGATGTTATGTACATTAAAATTTTTTAATTTTTGTCTTTTTAGGGACCAACTTTAATTTCTTAATAAATTTAGTGTTAATACAAGGTAACGTTTTATTTATTTAAACCTTCAAATCTTTTTAAATTAGGTGCCTTAGTTACATTATTATGATTAAAGTAAAACGGAACCCTTATATTTGCTGATACCCGTACGTCTCTGTGAGCCCTTAATAATAGAAAATTCTTATTTTTATTTATTTTAAGCAGTTACATTTGGTATTATGCTGCGCATTTTTATTATTCCCCATGTTTGTGACGACCAGGTTAGAATGCCTGCGCTAAACATTTTAAAACGTAAGTGTACTAAACAATTGCCTACTAAAGCGAGGTGTGAATTTTGCTAAATGTACATATTTAAATTAAAAGTTAGCAGAACAATACCACCTATTATCTATATAGGAAAAAGAGACCGAATTAAAAAAAGTGTGTGTACTGCGTACTTATGTACGTACGTACGTAAGAAGTTGAAACTTCTTTGGCATAATAAAACATATTAACTTCAAAAATGTTATCCTGCGTGTCAATTATATACATTTTGTAGAAACGACGAAAAAATTATAAGATAAAGATATTAAATACAGTTGAAATATTTTTTTAGTTGTTAAAAGAGAACGTGTTCAAAATTGTAATAACTAGAAGCACATTTTTTAAATTATTTCTTGAAGTTACTTTGTGTGGGTCATGTATCAATTTTTTTTTAATTTATCTGCAAAATTCGCACTCTGTAAATTAATTAACTTTCTATACAGGTGGCAACGCTTGACCAATATTCCTTTTAACCATAATATATCCGTACATGTAACTATTGATATGCAAAAAATAAAATAAATTATTTATTTATTAAATATATTTATTTAATAAATAAGAATCCCTACCGATAAGCAATAAAAACTTTTTAACAAAAAAATAAAAACCGACTTCAAACAAAAGCACTGAAAAGTAAAAAATAACTGATTGGTAGTTTTCATTTACTATACATACCTAATCAAATATTTTCGAAGTCGGTGTGCTTTGGCTAAGTAATTAAAGCCTACCTATTAAATACATACATACCTAATCAAATATTTTCGAAATCGGTGCCAGCCCATACAAAGCAAAGCACACCGACTTCGAAAATATTTGATTAGGTATGTATAGTAAATGAAAACTACCAATCAGTTATTTTTTACTTTTCAGTGCTTTTGTTTGAAGTCGGTTTTTATTTTTTTGTTAAAAAGTTTTTATTTTTCCCTTTTTAGTGTAGACAGTAGTAGCAAAGTAAGGATTCTAACGTGTTAGGCTTGTCAAATCAAACAAAATAAGCCCAAACTCAAAGTATCTACTATTAGCCGTTGAAGAGTTCCACCTATCCACCTTCTGGCCTTGCCATCAGATCAGGTCAACAACACCGGACCACTATACTATCAACGGAAATAGAAATACTTGCAAAGTTTCAAGTCAATATGACAATTAGAAGTAGGTTAAATTCATCATTAGTGGTTTTTCCACCCTTAGGGGTGGTATTTTTTTTTGAAATTTAAAGACCAATCTGGAAGTATACCCTTTCAAACAAAACAAAAATTGTCCAAATCGGTTAATAAATGACGGAGTTCTGAGGTAACAAACATAAAAAAAAAAAAAAAAAAAACATACAGTCGAATTGAGAACCTCCTCCTTTTTGAAGTCGGTTGAAAATAACTTTTGCTACTTACTTGAATATATAGATAAATAAGAGATTTATTACATATATCAAAAACAATAAGAATAAATTATTTATTAAGTAATAATTTATAAATAATGTAAAAAAATTGAATATATCTTAGTTAACTCCAATGTTAGAAAAAAAAATCAACTTTTACAGTTTTGTTAGAAGTTCTTCATTGGTTATTTACATTTCAAAACTAGATAATAAATTAATAAAAACTTTTAATATTACACTCAGACAAAATTATAATTTAAACTAATATCACACAAGAAGAGAGAATAACATTTTATCTCTTTCTATCTAGATGGATTCTTACATCTATCGCATACACTCATACGGGTCTAAGCCGAGCGAAGCGAGGGTGAGCCGCTAGTTATAAATACACATTTTGCTTATTTGAAAACAAATTTGTAAAAATGGTAATCTTTGAACATAGCAACGGAAAGGATATGATAAATGTATATCATTTTTCATACGATAACAACGGTTACAAATTACAATGGCAACTGCGAGGATTTCTTGTGGTCGTGAAGTCGTGACGCGACTTTAAAATTTTACTGTAGTCTAATTATTATTTATTATGTCGCTATGCGCGCGCATCGAACAAATTCACTAACGCGCCAAAAGAAGTATAACTTCAAAAATATAAGCATTTAAAGTCCTAAAGCATTCCTATAATATCTATACAGAACCCTCTTTCATGAAAGTCCATCTCACACTCAACCAATTTTTAGTATTCCCCTGTAGGTGACTATAATTATACAATTAATCTATTCAATTAATTCTTACTTATTTATTTTTTAAGTCCATTGTTCTTAGTAACAATAGTTAACAGGTGGGCATTATTGAGATATCGGACGTACAGTCATAAGTGAAAGCTCGTAAATGGACGTATTTTTAATATTACTTCTTATAGCCTACACGCAGGCAAGATTATTTTGTGAAAAAAACACAATGCCTCTTGAAGTAGGAATATGGCATCATCACCTAAAGCATATAGACTCTGCTGTCGTTGAAAATCGTCCGGTTTCAATAAACGAGGGGCAAGTATACGTGTACGAAAATCATTTTCCAGGATATACCATCGACTACATACACGTTGACAACGTTGCCATCAAATCTTGTGGAGCCAGCGCGGCGATTAAAAAAGGCGGCATCGGGACATCTTCAGTGTTAATTGTTTTACATGCAGCGACCAACGAAGAGATACGTTCAGTCATAGATATATGGGGCACAAAACAATTTGAGAGAAATACTCAATCGATCCCAGTAGAAGATAAGTTTGGAAATATGAAATCTTTGTACCTATTTAAAGAATTAAGAGCTGTCAATCACAATAAAGGCTTCTAAACTATGTCGTATGAGTTAATTTACAGTTATTATGTCCATAGAATTTTGACATGACCTTCGTTAAATAGATTGAATATTTGACTTCAATAGCCATGTGGAAATAATTATCATTTAAATCAGCTAGCCTATCGGCTAGCCTAAAGGCTAATTCTAAACAATTCGCATTGTAATCAACCCACATATTTTGACTAACGTATAGAGTTTGTGAAGTTAGCGCTTGTAGAGTTAGAAGTTTGGCTATACATGAGATCTGATAACATTTTGACAGTGCGAGCCCTATTAGTCCAGTCAAATAAGGTCTGAAATCAAAATTTGAACCTCAACTTTGCATTTTTGATATAATGTTAACCCCCGGCAAGGGTTGAAAAAAAATATTCAAAAATGTTTTTTCGCAATTACTCGAGAACGGTAAAAATTGACAAAAAAGTTTTAATAAAAATATGTAGAGCTTAAACGTTTACATAAAAATAGTATCATGACTTTTTTCCTCCGGTCAAAATGAACGAGGTTTTAAGTTTAAGGGATGAACGTAAATTTAAAAAAATCGTAGTTAGTAGAAACATATGCCAATTTTAATTTCCTCGTTCGTCCCTTAAAATTAAAACTTCCTTAACACGGTTCATTTTGAGCGGAAAAAAAAGTCGTGATACTTTTTTTATGTAAAATTTTAAGCTCTACACATTTTTATTAAAACTTTTTGTCTAATTTTTACCGTTTTCGAGTAATTGCGAAAAAACATTTTTGAATATTTTTTCCAACCCTTGCCGGGGGTTGCAGACACGAAAACCTTTACACATTGTTTTAGTATCATTAAAACTACATTTTATCAAAAATGCAAAGCTGAGTGCCAAATTTTGATTTCAGCCCTTATTTGACTGGAGTAATATGGTCTCGTCTTGACAACATTTTGCATAAAAATGTTTTTGGTGAGATTATATTTTAGTTAAAACTATGAAACTAGCTTCAGAATACAATATGAAACTAACTATTAAGTGGTTTGTCAATTATTAAACATTAAATTAATAACTTAGAAATAATAAAGTAAAAAAAACAATAAAAATGTTATTAGTTTACTTTATTCAAAATTACAGTTAACAAAATACAATTACATAGGTAAAACACCTAAAATTACAATAATTACTAACTAACATGCCGTAATATTCTTATTTCTAAGCATTTAACAGTTATATATAAAATATTACCATTGAAAAATTTCAATTGAATCTCGCCGCGATACGCTATACGGTATGGTATTCATAAAAACACAACTGACTAGAAAAGTTACAAATATGAGGATTGTTTTAGTTACAATTCGCCGATGCACATACCAGCTTAATACCTGAAAATATTTTTCACTTAAATTAAGGTAAAATTATTTGGTTGTGACGATCGTTTCACGTTTTGGTTATCCTTAAAATACTAAGTCAATGAGAAGATAAATACCTACTACTTTTATTTTATAATACAATTGTTCAAATAACGTAGCTAAAGTAATATAAAAATAATTAAGATCAAAACAGATATTCTAATAAATTATTTTTACATGCACACACAGTAACTAAAATATTGCAGTAAATGTGATAGTCTCAAAAATATAAGTGTGAGATGTTTAGCATTATTAATTATTATTCAAAAAAATCGTTTAAAAATATTTATATATCATCAAATATTCGGATCTGCAAAAATATTTTTCAATTTAATATTCCTTTAGGTACTGTGAAGTATAATAAAGCTATTATGGGAATACACATCCCAGGCGATATAACGCAATAAGCATACTAAAGCGTGTAATTAATACTTTTGGTACTGTTTGTATAATTGAAACAGAGTTGATAAAGATGTAGAATCTTTACTGTATTGGAAATTTTAAGAAATACTTTGACGATATAAAAAACTTGTGCTGGCCATTTGATAGAAAGAAAGAAAATATATTAGGAATTATATACATTGTTTTTATAATAAAATAATAATCCTATATTTAAATGTGCGTTTTTGTAGCCATTTTCTAAACATATACAAGCTTAATACGATTACGACCTCGCAATAATTGTACACTGTGCATAAATATGACGTGTACCTATTATTAAAAACATGAATTGAAATCAATTGTTCATAACGGATTCACCGCAGGCTGTGGACAACTACTAATATCAATTTACTTTCGTTAAATTCTCTTGACACATTGGTTTTTTTCTTATTGATACGATCACTGAAAATTACTTTTTCAAAATGTATGTATATAAAATTCTTATAATAGACCCTTGCCTATTCCATATAATAATATTTAGAAGAATTTAGACGGTAAAGTATTAGCATTATTAACCTCTTTTAAGATTTAGATTAAGTTTTCATTATGGTAGTTTAAAAATATTAAACGAGCTTAGAAAGATAAAGAAGGTTTAAAGTCGGTACCAGGTTCTTTACTGTACTAATCTCACATATGTATGACAGTAATAATTAATAAGATACTCAAACATGAGACCACGAGAATAATCTTAAATAGAAATCACACTTCTGGAGCCACAATTAGCAGTGCGACTACTTGCGTTGCGCTTCTGAAGACGTGACGTGATAATGTAATTAACTTAACTAAAATATTATTTGGTCGAAAGCTATTTATATTGGAAATGACTAATCAATGTTGTGAAATTTGAGTATGGCGCGACCCTTGATTTCGGAATTACACAGTTTCCTTACTACTTCCTGCGCTTCCTCCGCCGGGTACACAGAGTGCGGAGGCGGCTCGATCTGTAAATGCAATACACAATAACGTAAACAAATTTGATCTAATATTATATATGTAGAACTTTTTACTTCACGCTGACACAGCTGGACGGATTTGGATGTTTAGTACGCAGATAGATTTAGAGCTGGAGTACTGTTAGGCACATTTTGTTTACATTAAAATTGTATACGTATATTGTTCATGTTATAATGAAATAAAATGTGGCTGCAATTATTACATAAACACGTATCACGCACAAATGAACTGATAAAAATCAAGATCTTTTTTTTGTGTGTGGGTTTCTTTCATTTATTGATGCACTTTGTGTGTTATTATTCTTTCGTATTCATGTCTCTTTTTGTCAGTGCGATGATTCATAATAAAGATAAAACAATGTATGAAATAAGTTACGTTGCTAGGTCATTATTGATTTTTCCTTATCGATTACTTATGTATAGTAATTAAGCGAATGAGGATGTAGTGATACATTATGCTAGTATTGAGTGTCTTTACTCTTTACTAGAAAGGTTTTTGACTCATGTACCTGTATTAATCCCTCCACGTCCGTGGACACGCCGGCGTTACAGTTAACAATAGATTTCTTAGAAACTTAATTAATTTCTTAGAAATTTACCTGGAGGTGTTAACTAATTTATTTTATACAAAATTCGAAATGAAGAGCTCTATTTGCCAATAAAATTAAAATTCACCTAACCCAGATACTCGTCGTTTATTCTCTAAGATTGTTTGGGAAGCACTATTTTAGTTAAAGTTAAAAATATAAACTAATACCTACTCCTTGGTTTTCTATATCATGGAGTTTGAAAAAATATTACATCAATCCACATACAAATCATCAGATATCACTTATCAGTGAAAAACAAACTTCCATTTATCCAACAGTAACAGAACATTACCTTCTCTAATTTGATTAAATTGTTAATTACTATGTTGTTAATGCTTGAGATAAGGATGTTTAACAAATTATTATTATTTACGGTGATTAATATAATATTATCTTAAAATTCAATAACATAAAGGAGCGATATTGAAATGGAGACACGTATTGAAAAAAGAAACGGGGTGCAGGAACAGTCTTTGTAAACAAAAGAATTTATCTGCACCTAAGTACATATCTTGAATTGAATAAAGTATTGTAACATATTGCAAGAATAAGGATATATAATGGAGTACATTTTGTATATTATGCTTTAATCTATATCTATAAATAAAAAAAAAAGTGAAAAGGTGAAATCTGTATTACTATTACATATTGTGTACAGAACATGTGAACAGACTCCAAAACCATACTGGTTGATTTATTTGTCTGTATGTCTGTAAGTCTATTTGCGTTTCACGCAAAAAGTACTAAACAGATTTTAAGTAAATTTTGTGTAGCGATAGCTTATTACTGCTCGAGATCAACATTTCGCATACCTTTTCCTAAGGAGAAATCTCTCTTCCCCATGGGAAAACACAATAACTGGTTCAGCCAAGTTGCCCTTCAACTATTTCAATGATTAGTACAAAAATTTTAATGATTTATTACACAAAACTATATAGCATTGGTAACAATTTTAATATATTTAACAAGTCACTCATATACACACCTGTATCTGTAGTCTATACATAATACTCTTATAAAACAAAGTTGGGGTATGTCCTTGTTTGTTTCTCCGCTTGCTCCGACTTTTGGTTTAGAACTACTTTACTTTACTTTACTTACATCGGATTTTGATACTGTTTTTACTTAGAGAAAGAGCGAAACGAAGAACGTTTGTTTATATAATTTGTAAATATTTTGCACAAAGTATCTGAACTGTGACTGTATTTTGTCAAAAAAACTGTTTTAGTACGCTTACAAGGCTAAGGCTGGCTAAACTCTATCTCCTAAGGCACACTCACAATTATTTGTATTTATTGAAAATGTACCTAAGGACGCTTCCAAGCGAAGCGACGTTAAGTCGCTAGTTGTTAATAATAGTATTTTTTTTAATATAAACCTATATAAATAAAAAATATTCGCATGTTTGTCCTGTCCTCTGTGCGTTTCTAAACCATTGATTCCATTTTATAATACACTATTATATTGATATTATATATACTCCTGGCGCAAAAAAAACGGAGAATTGTCATTTTATGCGTTCCTAAACTATTCAAGCCTAGGGACGCACCCCAGCGAAGCGAGGGTGACTCGCTAGAATGTACCTAATAGAATCACTAACCTCTCCCTTGGCGACCAGTTGAACTAACTCCTTTAGCTGCTCAATAGTACCGTTAGGAACCACAACTATGTTGACGTTCATTTCTTCAGCTTTCTTTGCAAACTTTGGCAATAGTTTTTCACCAACATCTTCTGTCACCAGCACCATACCACCCTAAAAGAAACCAATATATTTAAAAACCCCTTCCACATAAGAGGGTATGTATATACAGGTATCATTAAATCACACAAGTAGTTTAGTAAAGCCCAAAACCCTACGTGTATGTATGCGCATGGGCGTACCCAGGTAGGATCGTGTATGTCTACGTACCTACTGTTGTCAATAAAGTTATGTTTGAGTCAGGTTACGAGTGTTACGAATTACTTTACAATATATTACGTGTAACTTATAAAAAAATTGCGCTGCGCGCTCGGTCAACTTGTATTCATACAAAACGCTAGAGCAGCAAGCGACCGGTGAGCTCCACGCTCGCCAGCCACTCGCTGTCGCGCCAACGACTTACGAAGGTTATCGAATCTAGTCTAGCGTTTGTGTACTGTACTGTAGTTATTTGACATGTTATTGTTTTGAAAGGGCTAAAAGTAGGTGACGAAAAATAATCAATTCTCATATCTATACATATAATAAATTGTAACTGATCGCTGTCTGTACATGGGAGATATTTTTCTATTTTTATAAATTTCTGTTTTGCCCCCCCCTCTGGACCAAAAGCTGGGTACGTCCATGTGTATGCGCGTCCGAACCTACGTTCCCTTGTTACTATAAACAGCTTAACCGATTTTCATGATACGGATATTATTAAAAATCAATAAACCTAGTTTAATAAAAGTAGTTGCCGTCCATCTCCATTAGAGATGAATATTTGATTGTATGTAAAGCTGACCGTGGCGAGGCACTGAAGCGAGCGGTGCAGGGAGCGCGAGGTGGTGCCGAAGTTGAGCACGACGTCTACGGGCCCGCCGCACGCGTCCGTCGTGCGCTCCACAAGCTGCCGCTCGTACAGGTCCTCCGACCATTGCACTACTTTCACCCTTTACATAAACAATATTATATGTTACCGAAAATATATAAATCTATACTAATTTATTGTTATGTGCCGTAGGGTAATTTCGTGCATTAAAACTACTTTTTTGACTACTAATTCACAACATCTCGAACATTTAGAACTTTCTTTAAGGGCCACTAGGATGTATCAACTATAAGAGATGTATAAAATTCATACTCACTCTTCTACCTCTTTTGCCAAAAGAAATCCTTCATCTTTTAAAGTCGCCACCGATATATGGACGCGATCATGATATGACAATTTTCGAAAGTAATGCGTAGCAATTCGTAACGCCCAGAGAGCGAGACCACCTGTACCGACGATCAGGACTGTAGCATTATCCTTTTTATTGGGTCCCTCTAAAATTGTATTTAAACAATCAGTAGCTGTGTAGACGGTATTGGTAGCGAGCAAAGCGCCCGTGGGCAACATAGCGGCGACACTTAGCGGCAGCTCTGCCGGAACAGGCACTAAACACTTAAAGTCCGGTACTACGATGTAGTCAGCATATCCGTGAGGTACACCTTCATAAGGATACAATACTATTCTCGTGCCTACAGTGATGCAATCACCGCACTCGGCAGCCTTGCCGATAGCATCTACCACACCAGCAACTTCATAACCAGGGAACAGAGCACCATCTCTCAGGCCGATATGTGCTGGGGTAGATGTGTGTATGCCAAAACTTTCCATCTCCCCTGATAGACTGCCAATAGACGAAACTGAAGAAGTGCTGCACACTGAAGCAGAACGAGTTCTACTGGCTCGATAGCAGGCACCAGCATAGACTACTCGAATTCTTGCTCCATACATAGGAACATCTGGTACTGGTACATCGAAACTAAACACACACTCCTTCAAAGTAGGTCCAGGAGACTCAATAGACACTTGTCTACATAGCTTACTCATGGTTGACTCTGAGAATGACCTGAAATCAAAAGTAACAATATTTTGTCCTTGAAAAATAACTAGGTCACCAAGTATGTTTGGGTTGGTTAGGTATGGGTACTCTGAGGTTTGTTAGTGGTAGGGATTGAGAGATAAGATATTGGAGGTACATACAGCTAGTTAGTTCACTATTAGAAAGCCAACGTAATCCCTAAATGAAATAAACTACTCCTTTTTACTTTCCAAATAATATACCAAGTAGGATGAGTATATTTCAAAATGTTACAAATGAATATATAAAAAGAAGTTAGGTAGGATTTGAATTAAAAGCAGAGTAGGTTGTTTGTTCATTATATCAAATTTAGGGTTTTGTACATTTGAAAAATATGAAACACATACAGGATAACTCCCACATTTGTCTTTCCAATTTTCATTGGCTATCCCTCCCATTGGACTGAAATACTTGACATAATATATGCCTTGAAGACGGACAACTCAATTATAGATGAATACTGAATAGTATACATAAAAAATATGTAAGTAGTACAAATTTAGAAAATTAAAAAAACCTTGCCAAGTTAATCATGTGATATAGGTATAAAAAGAAATAGCCACAATTATAATGTTAATAAGACAATTTTAATGTATGTACATGTTTTAAAAAAATATGAAATTCTAGAAAATCCTATATTATCAAAATTGACATAAATGAAATAAATACACATAATATTTTATTTTAAATTGCAGTGTGACATATATCAAATTATATGAGTTGATAAAATGAATAGCTATAATTTATATATATGTTTTTATCCTTAACTTACAAATATCTCACTTCAAAAAAGATGACCTATTATTACAAGCATGTAAAACAAAATCGAATACAAACTCGGTTTCTATAAATAACAGGGAAATAAAATAGATGTGGTTGCTTGTTACCAGCCGAGTATGTTTTGAACAACGCATTCTAAGTAAACAGGGACAATGAACGATTAATGACGAAGAACACCTATCTGGAGCATACGCGCGTCGAATGAAAACAAAAGAAATAAGAATAAAAAAATTATATAAACTGTTATGACCTTTCTTATGCACGAAGGTCAAATCAAATAAATAAAAAACATCGGAAGGACCACTAGCTGTCCAAAATTTTCACAAGCGTATTAAACATCTAAAAATATCACATAGTAATTATATTCTTTAAAACAATTACTATTTTATAATAATTCCCATTGACTGGCTATTTGACTTTTAAATTATTAAATTAATATTTAAAAAAACAAATAATTATTTTTTTAAACTTACGCTTTTTCAAGTAGACTAGTAGGCAGAAATGTAAAGTATTAGAACTCCGTTGCGAATAACAAAAAAGTCGTTTTCATTTGTTTTTATTGCAGGCCTACAATACACATGACATATTATTATATTATAGTCCTCTTCCTCTATAGAATACGCACAGATAATACTTAATACTTATATTTATATAATTCTGTAGTATAGACTATAGACTGGAGAACGGATGATGTACTGAAAAAATTGCAATGAATAGATAATTGCATTTTTAAAATAAATGGCGTATAATATGGTAATATTCTAATCGTATTTAGAATTTTTTAACTTGACAAACCATTTATTTAGTCACGTTTTGTTATGTTGTATGTTTATTTTTTTTTAAATACATAATATTTTATTTGCTATTTTGATCGTATGAATCATTGAACAGTATTTTTTATATTACTGATGTGATTAATACTTGATGAAATAAAGTTTTCATTTCGGGCTGAAATTAGATCTTATAAATATAAACTTCCAACATAATATACATTATAAATATTGTTTGATCGAAGTTTGAGCATGTACAAGCATTTTGTACACTAAAGAAAAAAACAGCATTAATATTCTAGTAGGATAAATTATATGTATGGAAATATATAATTATTATAGTAAATATAAAGCAAAAACTAATAGCAACACTGGTTGGCGTGGGTTCTTTGGTAGTCATTGTTAGCGATTTTAGCGTGGGTTGGTTGTTGTATATTTTTGGGGAATTCAATAATCGGTAAGTATAATGTACATTTTAGTATATACATTTTAATCAGATGTAGTCAAAATGATTTTTGCATTTCCATCATCAGATGTAAATATAAGATACATTTTGAGCATTTGAGTTTATTTTTTGTTACCCCTCAGGATGCGTGATATATCTTTCATTCATATTTAAATAAAATTGCGAAGGTATTTATGTACTGAAAGGATATATTTAAAGTAACGCATTTATATGGTTACATATTTAGGATTACACATATTCTGCGACTTTTGATTACGATAAAGCTTGTTTTGTTGTGGCTTGAAAGAATGGCACAAAATCAAAAACTTTGACGATTGAATACCTACTATTTTTTTTATTTATATGAATAAAATGTTTAGATATGTCTAAATTTCACTTACTATGTCTGCATTCGTGAACTTCAATTATTAAATTTAGATTTCAAGAGTATTTATAAGAAGTTATCATATTTGTTTTTTATTCAAATATTAGAAGTCAAGTTTTAATAAGTATCTCTAAACTCAACAAGCTATATTTGTGTAAACAATCTTCTAAAAAAGGTCTACCTTTTTTTAAAGTGTTTTTATTGACCTGTTTATTATAATAGTAGTGAAAATATACATTAAATCTCAATGTGAAATTTAATATTAGGAGATTTTTTTATTAATTCTTATTGAAAAACAGAATTACTGTGGTCTGTACCTACAAAAATAGCAATATAAGTGAGATTATAATGTGCAACTTATATAACACTATTGCAATGCGAAAAAATTATATAATTATTTAGTTTCAGGTGCTAGTTCTATACAACTATTCTTTTATAAATCAATTTACTTACATTAGAGTAAGTAATGTCTGAAATGATATAATACCATCAACTTATATTTGTAAACATTTGTAATATACCTTTACAATAAAAAATTAATATTTAAAAACAAAGTTTTGGGCTACATCATGACTTCCTCAACCTTATAAAGTAAATTTAATTAAAAGTAATAAGAAGTTAGTTGTGCCAAATTTCAATATAATTGCTAGCATGCATATCTATATCTAATGAAAGATGTATTATTACAAATTTTAAACAGGAAGAACAGAAACCATTTAGCATTTACATATTATATATAGAAAATTTATAAACAAATGTATGAGTGTATGATACTATAATGTTATTGTTTGTTTTGCAGAAGCGAATTCTACTTAGTTTTAATAAAGATGAGAGTTAGCTATACATAAACATTAACATTTATTTCATGTAGATGTTATTTTAAAAATAATACATAAAATTATATAAAAATCATATATTTGACCTAAAATATTGTGATTTTTCAGGAAAAAAATATTAAATCTGGAGGGGGTGGTGTATAAGACATTATAGAGGTAATATATGTATTTAATATTTTTAATATATAAATATAGTATAGTAAATATAGTAATAATATATATGTAACATATATATTGAATATAACATGTATATTTTTTATAATATATAACATATTGAATTAAGACTCAAAATAATTACATGACATGATATTTATTAACAATTTTTAATAATTTCAGATGTCTCAACAATATAGCTTACGATGGAATAACCATCAGCCTAACTTTATTTCTATGTTTGGAACATTGCTGGCTACAAAAAATTTAGTTGACGTCACTCTTGCTGCTGAAGGTCAACATCTAGTTGCACACAAAGTGGTGTTATCAGCCTGCAGCACATATTTTCACGTGAGCTTCTTAGTTTTGTTATTTCTACATTCTGTGCATATGCACATAATAAGAAATAGAATAAGAGATATTGATAGCTTGATATTGATTTCATACTTTGAATATTATTTGTTTCACTTAAGATATTGTTATTTATAATAAAAAAAAAAAATTTTTCAGTCATTGTTTGTTGATAATCCATCACATCATCCAATAGTTATATTGAAGGATGTTACATTTAATGATCTACGGACAATGGTGGATTTTATGTACTATGGAGAAGTTAATGTCACTGAAGAACAATTACCACAGGTATGCCTGGTTGTATATCTAATGTAAACTATTAAGTGAATTTAATACACAACATAAAATAATGCAAACTTAATTTATAGGTACTAGAAACAGCAAAAATATTAAAAATTAAAGGACTAACAGAAATGCCAGACTCAACATCTTTGACTAGGTCTCAAGGGTCATCAGCAGACTTACCTACTGCAGAAAATTCTAATGAGACACTAAGACCTTCAATTTCGACACCATCACCTATTTTAAAACCAAAAAGGTATGGTTTATATTTTGCGTTGAGGGTGGTTTTTATAGTTTCAATTGTGATTAACATTTTTCTGCTATATTTTGTCAATCCTTTTTTTTTTTTTTTTTGTTGGGGGATATTTTGTCAATCCTAACTTGTTGTATTATTAAACAAATACACATAAAAGTATTAAATTTAAACAATGAAGCAATGAAACATGCAAAAAGTACTTTATTTATCACTGCAAAACAATCTTAGATTGATTCTAAAATATTGTCAACAATGTTATAATAAGCAATTTTTGATTTAGACATTCTACTGCTGAGCTGATTTGATCAGAATTACCTAAAATTGTTGCATAGTGGATCTCTTTTAATTTTTAGTACAAATAGTTTCAAATTTATTTTAAAGGACAAATGTTTTTTACAAGTTCCATATGTTATGTCTATTTTAAATTAGGTCAATAGAGTACTTTAAGCTTTTTTAAACAAAACTGTGATTGTTATGTGAAAAAAATTTCTTATACGTATGTACATCAATTATGATTACAAAGCTATAAACCAAAGGAGTGTAATGAAAAATACATATGAAATGATTATTGTGCAGACGCAGAATGAGTTCAACGGGTTCAGTTGGGAATTTGGCGACCGACGACAACAGGAGTAATGATTGCGTTCAAAATATGGACATGATGCGCGAAGCGATAACTCTTAGCAGTGTACCACAACAGAAACGAAGGGAAATGGAAGAACGGATTGATAACTCACAGCAGGTAGGAACGGGCTATATATAATATATTTCAGTTTACCATCATTTACTACTGTGTATAATACTGAATGTAATGATATCAGTCCCAGCACTGTACAATGTTTTCGACAAACACTATCTATTACAGTGGAGATTTGCAAATATTAAATCATGCATGTGACATAAATCAATAATATGTGTACACAATTCTATAATATGCCGATTTTCACAAGTCAAAGAGGCAAAAATGGTACATAAACTTTATAGTCGATTTTTGCCTCTTCGGCTTGTGCAAATCGGCAAATTATTGAATTGCACACTTTTCAGGATGTAATTAGCCCACCATATCTTAATCTGACGGTTTCAAGTAATTCTACCTTATCAAAATATTTTTTAAATATTTTTATCAAAATATCAAAATATTTAAAAAATATTTTGATAGGGTGCCCTAGATGCGCGCCCTTATACAGAAGACTTATATTACGGTGGAAGTACTCAACAGAGTGCAAGGTATCCCCGCGTATATTAATCTGCCGCGCTTAGTAACACCCAAAAACCCCTCTTAGGCTCTCCTACTGTAACACTGATTCACATATAAACTTAAGTAAAAACGTTATTGTGGTCGAACATAGGGATCATCATATAGCAAAGCAATGAATGAGTGTACTGTAAGAACGTTGTGTTGTAAAATGACGTCACGCGAGCATGGCGCGCTCGCGCAATATATTTGAATAGGACGGAAATTAAAATTATCGTGACATCAACACTACTTGCTTGATTTAAATGAAACAAAAACAGTTGTAGGCTACACGGTCATAAAGTTTCAAGTTATTTAAAAGACCCAGTGACATTGTGCATTAGTAGAGTATTTTCCAAGTACTAAATTATGTAAACTCTATTATGCTTAGTGTATTTGCTACAATATTAGAAACATTATCATGTAAACTCAGTTAATTCGCATGACTACTAAGAAGTAATATTTATATATTTAAAGAAATAAACAGATAATTCTTAGAAAGGATTCCACAAAAAGGAAATGTTGATTTTCAGTATACGGCCTTTAATAATAAATGTAATAAAAACTGTATTAAGACATCCTGGCTACAAAATATCGATTGAAAATCTTATATTGTGCGAAATTTTTTATAGTATTGTAAGATTTGATGTAGGACCCGTTTTTATTTTTAATCCTCGACGAACGCCAAGATTTCTATAATGTTATAGAAGGTCTTTATTTTAAATACTTGCCAAAAATGCCACCTATTATATTCTATCATAGCAGTAACTTAATAATTTTTATTATGACAAAATAAATATTGTATCGGGTGAATATGGTTTCAATGAAGAAAGTCTTAAAAGTTACATGACCACTAACAGCCTACAAAATTATTTACTTTTGTCGCACCATGTTTCATTAACGCACTGAAGACATTATGGACAAACTTCTGCGCGATGATGAATTTAGAAAACAAAAACGCGCTGTGTCGAAAGAACGCGCGTTAATAAGTAATCATATGCTTTGGCCCTAAGATATTCATCAATAATTATTAATTACATATATATATATATATATATATATATATATATATATATATATATATATATATATATAATATTATTCTCTTATTTAAAAATAACTTGATTGATGACTTAATTGCGTTTCTATAACAATAATAGAAACTATAAAGCCTCTATGTCAAATCTCTTAACAAATTATGGAAAATCTTTATATTCTAATAAACTCTTTAAGAAAAAAATATAATTACATATTATCTCAATTATTTTATTAAATGTCAATTTGACAAAAAAATAAAAAAAAGTTAAAGTAAATATGGAATAAATTAAAAAGTATTTATGAAATAAATATAAACTAAAAAAACACTAGCATATGAAGTGGTTTCTTTACATATGTAAAGATTATTATTTTTGTTACAGACTGGAGAACCATCAAACATCAATATAGATCAACTTGCAATGGACGCAAACTCCGCTGTTGGTATATCACAAGGTGGGTTAATCAAATACAACCTTTTATTTTATAAATCACTGAGAATGAATTCTAAAGCTTATATTAACACATAATGCTTTCTTCATTATATTTTTTTTTCTTGTATATGTTGTGGCCAGACCGTAGAATTGATAATTTCATGAAATGAATGCATCCCATGATAGAGCCAGCCAAACCTGACTGTATCGTTTAAACATCAACATTTGATGATATGTCAATTTATGTTTGATCATATAATTAATATAGAGTTTAAATGATATAAAATGTGTCATAATAAAATCTAAATAAAAGATTCAGATAATGTCCGACACCTATAATAATCAGTCAGAGTCAGTTCTGTCACTGAATTAAAAATTAATATAAAGCACCTATGATAGGCATTCTGGCTTAAAAAAAGACTCAACGAATAGGTTAAAGCGGGTGCTACCCTACATTTTCCGAAACTACCGTGATCCGAATCGAACCTACCGAGCGAGAAAAATAATTACGAAAAAGACAATTAATTTTTATAGACCTACCCTACCCTCCTATTATTTGTTGTATAACCTAAAAATAATAATATGTCTAATAGTTAATGGCATTCATTAAGTGTGAGTAATCTTGGTCAATGGATAAATTAACGACATTTCACACACTGCACTTTAGATATAAGGTCTATTTGCACTTGTTATTCGCTTTTAAAATAATAATTTTACGCCGCAATGGTACAATAATATAGGTGCAAACTGTAAATTAAATCGCAAAGAAAGATATATGTTTGTTCAGATCGTTAAAGGCTGATTACACAACTCAACTAAAAAGAAATCGTCTTTGTCCTTAAAATTTATTTTATGATATTTGTATTCATTACGATTCATAATAAAGGAACAATACCCATATTCCTTAAAAAGTTTGCTTTTGTGGTAGTTATGACAAAAGGTCAAATAAATCCAAAAGGAAAAATTCTTGAGTTATCATATTTAAAAAAATATTTAAAAGTTCTAATGTAAGAACAGTATTTAAAAAAAAATAGCGCGAACTCATTCAATTCAGAAGAAAAAAGGGAACGTTTTCGTCAAGATATCATTTAATTCGAACACCGTTATCAGGGCGAAATGCCAATACAACGAAAATATGATGAGATTTGGGGCTTACGTTGACGTAAAGTTGATAAAAATATATTTGTTTCGATTTAAAAAAAGATTCGACGAACTGAGAACCTCCTTCTTTTTGGAAGTCGGATAAAAAGCAAACTTTTTCAGGCCATATATTTTTTTGTCTAACTTATCAATACATCTATCGAAATTTCATACTCTCTTATCAAAGTCAAAATTTGTATTGACTTATGATATTTCTTGATCTAGCCAGATCTCCCTCACGTAAAATTGCGCTACAGTTGTTAAAGGAGTACATTTATTTTCATAAATCATAAAAAATAAAAATATTACAGTGTTCAGGTGAACTATAACAAATCTTATTTGAATTTAATAAAATTAAAAGCAAAACGGACAAAGCTTAACAAAAAAAAGCTTAACACCAACTTCCTAAAAACTCTGACCAAACTTTTACTTTTTTTTTTACTCTCGAAATAAATATCTGTACTTATAAATATATATTCTTTTGAAGTTGACGTGAGATTTTTAATTATGCTCCCCCAGTCTAAGTGAGATTTGATGAGATTTTACTGGACAATTGCTGTATTATTTATTATACATTACTTCCTTTACATTTAAAGACCCACTTTAAGTCTATTTCATTCAATAATTCACTAAATAAAATGTTGTTTTTCATCTCGAAAAGATCGAGTTGAGTGAATCGTTATAACTGTATGATATTACATCATGTTTTGGTCCTTAATTTTACACCAAACATTTAAATGCTGGATTAAAAATCAGAAAATAATAAATAAATTGTTATCTTTTAACGTTCAAAATTAATTCGCGTTATTGCGTAAATACTGATTTTCTTACATTATTATATGCGTATTATACGCACGTATTACATGCCATTATATACATTTTACTAGTGATTTATCCTCGTTTCGCTCGGAAGCGTCGCCGAGTGCGTACATATAGCTACTACAGCTTAATAGATATTTCTAAGAGGAATAATTCTGTACTAATATTGTTTTCAGTTTTTTTGTTTATAACTCTATTGGCTTACGCGGCGCACACCAGTAAAGCTTCCAGTGGGCATGATTTCCCAACACTTCAACAATCATCGTCAGATTTCAACCTATTTACATTAAACCTTAATGAATTACACACCTAAACCTCAGGATTCACTCTGTCCATTTATGAAAACCGTATGGAAATCCGTTTAGTAGTTTTTGAGTTTATCGCGTTTAGACAGACCGACAGACGCGGCGGGTTGACTATGTTTTATAATATGTACCGAAAAACATACACGTTTCATCCTTGCCGCGAGATGTACATATTGTGTATGTCTCCGACTGCATAATACTAATTATTCCTTCGTCAACTTGTTTTTATATTTTTAGTTAGCTTTTATGCAGTTGGGTTATTATTTTATTTACAGCTTTTTAGCTTTTGCCAATTAGATATTTGAAGTTATATTTAGCAATTTTTTATACTAAATTACTTTTAAACATATAAGTGGGATATATTTTTGTGATCGCCTTTTAACAACCTTTATTTTGATACCCCACTCGATTAGCTTGGAAGATTATTTTAAAGACACAAATTGACGTCTGATATCCGCCATTGTAATTTTTAACTTTTTTGTATAGCCTATAATACTCGCGATATTAAGACGAATCTAACAATGTATGAATTATCAAAATCGGCCCACGCGTTTGGTCTCTAGAATGCTATATAGGAACAAACAAACATACATACATGTGTACATAGATTGATAAACACATTACCCTCCTTTGTGTCGCGCAGTCAAATCAGGGTCGAAAGCTATTTTCCAAGATGAATGAGTGTAACTTACATCTGTGGAGGATTACAGAGTTAAATTTTATATATAATATAGTAATATTAAATATTATATTATTATACATTAAATAATACAGTATTGAATGCAATCTCTATTATTATGAGAGACATTATAAATTGAGGATCAATAGTTTGTTACTACTAGTCAGGACTAGCGTAGATGAAGATAATTAGCATTAGTCATAGAAGACGCGATAGAGCTAAACGTCGTTAAAAATTTTTTAAAACATACATCATTAATACAGTCATGTTGAATGTCTGGTTATGATGAAATAATATTTCACACTCTTAAACATAATTTACTTTAATAACTAATTTTACAGTTTATTACAATATTTATGAATTTGTAATTAATTCATCGTTATTATATTCGTAACATTTATAATAGAAACGTAACGGTACAGACTATTAGTCGTATGCATATATTTTGCTTTTCAGGGAAGGGAGATCAATGAAATACGTAGTTTTAGTGTTTTTTTTAATTATTTTTAATTGTATTACAAAATCATTTATCTCTCTTCCCAGGCCAATGGAGTATGCTGGAGCATACATACCCTCGGTATACTAATGCCTGTCTCGGCGGCGGGGGCCTGCAGCCGGACCAGGGGATGTATTTGAATAATGTGATGAATCAACATGGAGAGTCAGAGATGAATAACTACGGGCAGGTGCTGGGCATGACGGGCCCCGCGCCCGGGCCCAGCTGCGTGGCCGACGCGCAAGCGATACAGCCCATCAACCAGATGCAGCAGAAGCGTCGGCGAACAACCAACCCCCAAGCCGAGGAAAACTTCCAGAGAGCCCTGGAGGCGGTACGCTTCGGCGGCATAGGATTCTGTAAAGCGGCCCGCATGTTCGGCGTGAACAACCGGACTCTATGGCTCGAGTACAAGAAGAAGGGCTACCCGAACAACCGGCCGAGTATCAAGAGTAGGATAAAGCGCGAGCACGTGACCCCGCCGCCCAAGGAGGAGCCGCCGCAGCCGGACCCGCAGATGGCGCTGCTGTGCCCGCCGCACCCCGTGTCCGTGGGATTCATCGACCCGAGGCCCGTGGACTTCCCCCTGCAGGTGAACAACTCGCCCTTGAACATCATCAACGGCGTCAACTTCCCGATGCAATAGAACGCGGCGTGCGCGGCGCCTGGCGTCGAGTCCTACTCCTTGTGACCCGAGCTCCAGGGCGGCGAGCTCGGGCACTCGTCGCCTCTGCGTCCGCAGACACGCTACGACATATACATGCACATGCCCCTGTAAATAACGTTACCATTATCGTCCAGTATTACTCGCTACCCAGTTGGCTATCGCCTATCTGTAAAGTAATTGAAAGTATTGATGTCGGTGGACGCGCGCGCCACACGCGTCCATTAGCCATAATCACTAAGGTATGTTTAGATCTCAGTAGAACAATAAGTTTAAAACAGGTATTTGATATCAGCTTTTTTTATAATAGCCGCTTTTTATGGATAAGATATATTGTACATTGAAAAATGTAATAGCGAATTTACTATGCAAGATGAAAGTTTGGTGTGATGTCGCAGGTAAAATGTGTAACGTGCTTGATTTTTAAACATGCATCAGGTGTCTTCTAATTACAAATGTAAATCATTTTGTAAAACGGTAACGGTGAATTGTATGATATCTAATCATTTTTCACTTTGCCATCATCAAGACAATAGTTCTTAAAGATGTATGTATGTATGGGTAACCTCAAAGGATATTTCCTCCAAATTTAAAGTTCCTCGGTTCAGCATTTTAATTATGCGTTAATGTCATTGTTATACAATGACTCATCTTTTGTATTTATAGAATAAGAATAGCTGCAGTATTATTTTAATTTATGAGACATAGTTTATGATAATGTTAGATTAACAATTTATTTTAGCGAAGTCTGCCTCACCAAGGCAAGTACACTACTATTTATTTTTAAACAAGCAATTTAAACAATTTGCCTGCGTCATATATTTCACGAATGCGATACATGAACTACATGTGCTCATATCAGCTAATGACACGATTTAAAAAAAAAAGATTTTGCTCAATGATTTCAATTTAAATGATAATTTTATTTAAGTAAAAATGTATTTCATATGAATTCCATAAAAATCAATATCGTAGATGAAAATAGTTATTTAATACAAACAATACCAAGCAAATGCTATGTAAAAAGAAGCAATAAATTCTACTATTCAATAAATTAACTAAGCAATATTAAGAGTATATTGATTAAAGTGTTTCAAAACATTTAAAAGTAATAAAAATTACATTATTATGTACCACTAAATGCTTTATGAGACTGTGTGGATTCGTCAATACTAAGAAAATAAGATTTGTTATACAATCTTTTAATTAATAATTACATTAAAGTGATGTAATTTACATATAAAAATCAGCACATAGTTTTGTTAATACATATGTTGATAGCCAGACATAGCTGTTAAACGAGGGGTTTCGACCTGATTAAGATTATTATAATTGACTGTTACGTTCGATCCATGCATGACATTATATTAAAAATGATTCCCCATTAATTAAATGAACAGTTATAATATTATAGATTATTTTGATCCGCCTTTAGAGCTCGGTTAGTATTTCCAGGTTGGACCTTTGTGTGAAGGTTTATTGCGCACAATCTAGTGGTTATTATGTTATATGCCTACCGCTGGTCGGTTACTTACTCGTGTAAGCGGCAAGTTGCCCATCTGTATATTTATCTACAAGAATCACATAAAAACTTTGTATAAAACTTGATAATACGCGCAAGATATCACAATAGCGATCTCCATATTGTATATATTGTAGTTATAAAATTATAAAAAAGTGATCATGTAATTATATTAAGTATGCATTTATAGATATAAGCTCAGTTGCAAAAATAAATGTTATTTAAGCAATGAAACGACGTAAATTTTAAAATGTTTCTCTTTTTAAATATATAAAACAAATTGAACTGTAACAAATGCTGCTATGGAAAGTCTGAATGAGTCTCGCGATGGAATGGAAGGAACTGAAGTTACAAGATGCTGTTTCTTCATATTGTTTAAGCAGGGTAGAACTAAGAAGAACCATCTCTCGTATAAAAAGTGACCGCTGACAAGCATCAAATTGGTGGCGCCACAGAGAACAAGTAGATGAATTTAAAAGAAGATGGCGAATTAAACAAGGAAGGAAAGATTTCCGCTTTGTTGTGACGCACTTTTCAAAATAGTTCTATCATAGGCAAACACCGATATATAATATAATTACATATTTTTTTCAAGTAATAATAATTCAGCACATTTGCTATGCTAGCGCTATATCGGTGAGTTTCTGAATTACAATTTGCTGCTCACCACTGGACACTTTTTCTACTTGTTTCCCATATAAGTCGGTTCTCCTTAGTTCAACCCTATATTTATGTTTTGCAACAGAGTAATAATACGATATATTAGTTTAGATTGTAACTATTTTACTGTAAAAAGGTGGTGCCAGTGTCTTCTCACTTTTTAGAGATAATTATATTAAGTACGAGTATCTTGAATACTATATACATATATATGAAAATGTTGGAATATGTTTGTCTCATTTAAGTTTCGATGCGTAATAATATTGCAAGGAAAATATTCACCAAAATAACTTTCATTATAAAAGTTACATTTTGATTTGATTATTTAGCAAGTATATGTTATAATTTCACTTAGTCTTTTTTTGCTTTTAACAAAACTTTTTTTTTATAATGTGTCTTTATAAATTTTTTTTACTAAAATAATCATTTGCAACATTAGAGATCTCTTATTTTTGACTGATTTTTACATAACCTACAAAGGAATATTATAATAATTAACGATTCAAAAACTTCTTTCATGATAAAAGTTAATATAATGTTTACAATTCTTTGTTTTTTTTCCAAACTGACAAAAAAGCAAAGCTTTACTATAAGAAATGTAATATAGTTCTATAACTTAGATGGTCATTTTTATGATTCTTTCAAGAAATAGCTTTACGTAAAACTATACCGTCATTTTTTAAGACATTTACAAATTATTTTAAACAATATTATTGATAATAGTAATTACCTTACGAAAACAAGGACCTACGTGTTTTTAAATATAAAAAGAAAACATTATATTCGATTAAAACACTGTACCGTGCAAATTTGTATTAAAAGTTTTTTTTTATATTGCTGTAATACTGTCAGTATTATGTCTTGTGATCGTTTCACAACTTTTATAATAGTAGAGAAGCCCAAGAGGTAATTTTGGAACTTACTCAAGCGCGGCAGATAACATAACGGGGGATACTTTGCACTTAGTGATTGCAATCCGGCGTCATTTTCAGTCCGGCCGGATCCAGCCAGATTGATCAAATCAGAATGATTTTCGCTTTTCGGTTGAGAATTAACTGTTAATAAATTAATCAAGTGTCATTGTTCTTAATACAGGTAGTTTATAAAGCATAAAACATATCTATAATATAAAAATGACTCGCTGAATGTGTTGGTAAGCGCAAATCTCGAGAGCAGCTGAACCGATTTCGCTAATTCTTTTTATAGATTATTCCTTGAAATATGGTTGGATGGTTCTTACGGAGAGAAAAAAGATTCGTAATAATACTTAAAAGTCAAATTGAACTTTAATAACATATTATAAAGTTTAAGTGTTAAAATATGTTTTACAATTTTTGTCTGTCTGTTTGTACGGCTAATCTCTAAAATGGCTAAATAGATTTAGACGTGACTTTCACTGGCAGATAGCTGATGTATTACATCAGCTAGGAGTAACTTAGGCTACTTATTTTAGAAAAAAAAATAAGGTCCCCATTAAAAAAAATTATAACCAATGAAAAATTTAATAATATCCGATTCAAATAGGGAAGTTGTATACATATCCTAGGCATGAACCCGAGCGAAGCGAGGGCGAGTCGCTAATATGTATATAAAATCAACTTTATTTCCAATTCAATAACGAGCAATTAAATAAAATCTAATAGAGTAGATACCTAGTAAAATTTTAACGATATAACGAGTACCTAGTTCAGTCTTAATAGTTTTCACTTTCACAGATAGATCAATTATTTTACCATGCGCAACGCATTTAAAGTACCTACTCCTGCAACAGCTCTATTATTTTGCCAAAAATTGCTAGCACCGGATCCGATATATTGGTACCGGATCCGGTAGACGTTTAATGAATGATGCCAGATCCGCCGGAATACCGGATCCGTTTTTCCGGATTGCTATCCCTACTTGCACTCTGTTGAGTAGTTACTCTACTAGTAACAGAGGCAAAAATCGTACATAAACGTTTTATAGTCGATTTTTGCCTCTTCGGCTTGTGCAAATCGGCAGATTATTGAATTGCACACTTTTTAGGATGTAATTAGCCCACCATACCTTAATCTGACGGTTTCAAGTATTTCTACCTTATCAAAATATTTTGATCGGCTGCCCTAGACGCGCGTCCTTATATAGAGGACTTATATAATGGTGGAAGTACCCAACAGAGTACAAGTATCCTCGATTATGTTAATCTGCCGCGCTTGAGTAAATCCCAAAATTCCCTCTTGGGCTCCCCTACAATAAATATTTCAGGTTTTATATAAAGTGTATATCAAGAGTTATTTTTAAAGCATTAGAACTTATGCACTTTGTGGTACATATGTATTTATTGTAATCAATCTTTATTTACGAAATATGAATCATATCAAATTTAGGGAATCTGATTACAACGCAACGGAAGGAAACGGACTAAGTATGTACAGAAAACTCTCTTTTATATTAAGTATATAGTATCAAAAAGGCAGTGGTAGCCCTGTGGTAACGCGCTCGCTTGGGAAACCGAGTGAAGTGAGTTCAAATCCCGGGTCTCGCACCTCTGATATTTTCATGTGCGAATCATTTCCAACATGATTACCACTTGTCTTAACGGTGAAGGAAAACATCGTGAGGAAACCTGCATGTCTGAGAGAACCTAGCAAGTTTTCAAAAGACATGTGAAGTCCGCCAACCCGCACTTGGCCAGCGTGGTGGACTATGGCCTGATTCCCCTCGTACTGAAGGGAGGCCCGTGCCCAGCAGTGGGACGTTAAAAAAAGGGCTGAGTACAATATAGTATCATGGTATCATATCCATTATATACTAAAAATAATAATTTTATTGATATTAAAATGTCGATATGTAAAATTTATGATTTTCAATCCTACCAATGCATTTATTTACTGGTATTAAACCTTTTTTATGGGCTTAATTATAATTTTTCGAAATTTAATATTTGTCAAATCCTATATAATTTTAGATAAGAGAGAGTTTAATTGCGTAAATTTTTCCTTAACGAGTGAATTTGCGTCCGTAATCGGCTCGATTATAACATACTCCGGTGTCGATGACATGACGACTACAACTCCAGAGTATATGGACGAAAAAAATATATATTTTAATTTTTTTTCACTACCCATTATGTTATAATCGTGCTACGAAGCTGTAATGCTGGCACATTAAAATAAATGTAATGCATTTCTCAATTGTTAATTTATACTACTTATTTGTATTTAAAACCAAACTAGGAAATAAAATAAATGATAGTTTTGCAGAAAAAAAGTGTTTTTTTATCACTTCAATCATCGTTTTCTATGCTCTTATCTTGAGTATTATATAAATATATAACCTCGTTCATATTTTTCCAAGACTGCTGAAAAAGTTGAGCTAATAGGGGACGTGTTGACTAGACTATATGACACCGACACAGGTAAAAAATGCCTACGTATACGAAATCAAGGGATACGTCGGTTATTACTTATTATATTTTATAATTTATAGTTATATTTATCTCTTGAGTATTATATATTTATATTTATACAACGCCTGCAAAAATTAAAGTTACAATTTACAAATAATTATCTTAAAATAAAAAAGGGGGTTTAGTTTATTGCAAATATCTCAAAATGAGTTTTCTCAAATTTAAAAAAAAGGTACAAAAAGAGAAGGAAATTTCCTAAAAAAAAGTCTCAACTCCCGGAACTGTAGGACCAATACTTATAATTTTCTCAGGGGGATGAAAATACGGCCTAAAGCGGTTGGTCTAAACAATCAAGGGCTTACTGGATAGATATATGAACAATAATTCGGCGGAAAAAAATTATCACAATTTTTCAATTAGTTATACAATAGTGAATTAATAAATATTTTCTGCTTGACCATGAACATTGCAAGTGTGTTAATTTTTAAACTAGATTTGATATTTTTTTCCTTCCTTGGAGCTATTCTTCAAAGTCTAGAATAGGTCCCCGTTAGAAAAATTAAAAAATTGTTATTTAATAACTTAAATAATTCGTGTTCGTACCTAAGTTGCTTCCCCATACAAACTTTCGTCTCCATTTTCACCCCTTAATGGATGATTTTCGGGAGAAAAACTTAAACTATATACTTCCCAGGGTCTCACACAATCTTCTTACAAAATTTCATCTAAATCAGTTCAGTACTTTCGGAGCCTATTCGGATACAAACAAACAAATCTTTTCTTTTTATATTATCTATACTTATTATAAAAATAAGTCCCCCGGCCGCGTCTTTCTGTCCTCCTGTCTGTCCTCCTGTCTGTCCTCCTGTCTGTCTGAACGCGATAAACTCGAAAACTACTGAACGGATTTTTATACGGTTTTCAACAATAGAAAGAGTAATTCTTGAGGAAGGTTTAGGTATATAATTTATTATGCTTTTATGTAAATTAGCTGAAATACGGCGACAAATGTTGAAGAGGTCGCAAAAAATCTCGCCAAATGGGAACTTTCCACGCGAACGCCGCGTAAACTAGCAAAGATACAGTTAAGTAATGTACTAGAGAATTCAAAATCTATAAAAATGCTACAAAAAAGTCCGCGATAGCATATCTCTATCTCTTACGGTTGACTTACAATAACCACTTTTATGTTAACATTTTTAATTAAAAACATTACGTTATTTTCAAAGTTATTTTCTTTAGTTCGGTATTAATCCTTATCCAAATGAATATTTTAGTTAGCTTAGTCATTTAATGCAGATTAAAATTGCTCTTTACACTAAATCAATCAGATGAATAGTTTTTGAGATATCGTTGTCGACCGCCTGCTCAAGCTATATAAACCGGGCGATGTAGCGCGCGATCCTAGGATACTTTTTACCGCGGGAAAATATCTTATTTCTGAGGAAAAATACAAAAACTGCAATGTAAGAGTATACTAATATGTAACACCTAAGAATTTAGTTTTTGGTCATCTGAACGCGGGCGGAGCCGCGGGCAATGCTAGTATTATATATTAGTATAGATTTAACTTTGTTCTTTATTTATTCCCATTCAAAATATTTCATTGGTCTCTGGGAATATGCATTCATGCTAACCCAATGCTTTATAAAAGAAAAATAAAGGCACTCGAAGAGGTAAACCTGCGGATATAAACCTTGATGCATGCTTTAATTGTTTTGAAATAAAATATTAAGAGGTAAATGTTATTTGTAGAATCTTTGAATACGCCATCAGGGGTTCGGCTGCGACGTACAAAATATTTCAAGCGTCAGAGCCGAGTTCAGCCTGACGAACAGCAACGTGAAGTGCGAAAACAGGTGTCTGAGCCTCAGCTTACGGCTGTCGCACACGTCCTTCAAAAGCACGAATCTTATCCACAATATTCTTCTTCTAAGGTAAATATTTAAAGTAATTATATTAGTACTGAGCAAAAGTAGTAAATTCGTTTACTTTGTGTTCTTATTACTAACGGATGATATCAAAAAATAATCATGTAAACAATTGATTAAAGTCAATACCATAGGACAGGGTAAGACCAAGAGTACCACAAAGCCCTGATTTTTTACAAATCATAACTTTCAAATGTATCTCAATCACAGTATACTTTTACTACCACTCTTCTTCTGCTAGGATTCTACGGTTAGTAAAAAAATCGAGAGGTGTTGTGAGACACATGATAGGGACGAAGTTCCTTTCACAAATCGCAGTCTGGCCTCGGCTCGTAAATTTGGTCATAAAAATTGTCACGAAAACTTGATGGTACATATGTATGGACGAAGGTACATACCGCGTACTGTACAAGTTGTACATGTTAAAGCTCATCTCATCGAAGAAAGGCTTGCACAGAGTGCACACTTTCTTACAACATTCACTTATGATCGCCTGGTACCTATGATAACGTCACTTTATGGGCTACCCAGTATCCTTAGCTCATTACACTGGTGACAATAATAGTCATGAGTACTAGCGAACCACAAGCCTTGAGGCTAGTTACCAATATATACATGTGTAGAGCCCCGTCTTAAGAGTCCACACAAACTACCTTAACTACATTCATTCCTTAAAACTTATAATCGCCTGCTCTTAAAAATGATAGTGTCGAATAGGTTGAAACATTACCCTGCGCCGAGTATAACGTGCGATAAGGAACTTGTCCAAAAAATGTTTTAACTTTAAGACTAGCTTAAAGGCTTTGGATCTAAATGTATACAGTCTTAAAAATATTTATCTGAACTAGTTGTAATTATTTTATATATTGATATCGTATATATTAAGACACTATTTGCCTTAGCTGATTCGACGGCCACGCACAGAGCAAGCAGTGGGGTCGTTGCTTATCAGAACAGTCGAGGTGGTCGATCGGCAGCCGGCCACGACCGCCGCGACGGCTACCACCGCGACCATAACCACTCCTACAAGTTCCTTCGAGAGCGTTATTACGGAGAGTGCCCCAGCACAGACGCAGGCGCGCGCGAGTCACACGCCCGCAGTGCGCTCGGGCCCGCCTCTCAGCTGCAACTTCTGCTGGAACACAGTGGACGAGTGCGGCCGCATCCTGCGCCGTAAGACTCAGTACCACTGCCCCGAGTGCCGCACCAACCTGTGCATCGTGCCCTGCTTCCACGAGTACCACGACGGACCCGAAACCGAGCCTACCGCCGTCGCCAGATGAACTACAAGCTTTACAAACAGGCCCCGCCTCCCGACTCGACCCATCTAGACGTGTCCATGTCCATTTAAATGGCACAGTCTTGTTTTTTTTTGGAGTTTTTTATTTAACTCCAATATCGCGTCATATATTTCTATTAGTTGTCTATCCACGAAATTTAAATGTATGTGAGTCAAGTATTATGTGGTGTAACAAAATAGTCCATAGGTAGATAAGTCTAGTCCGTAAGCGTGATTGTTGTAATTAATATCTAAATGTTTTCTATCCTAATTGATGCAAAAGCACAAACGTTTAAAGAAAAATATCCACCCTTTAAAAACATACATATGTGTGTAAATAGTCGTTTCATTTCATGAAATTAATGCCGCGATTTAGATATATCTAAAAAATTCTCATAGTATTTATTAACGAAAAAATATGGAATATTCAAGAACTATAGATTGCTGTCTCAACTTTCAAGGTGCACGTAGAAGTAAATGATGATATTTATAGAAGTAAATGATGATATATATCTAAGTCTCACTATTTATTACAAAGAAAGATATGTAAGTGCTACAATTGACTCATACGACGCCGCATAATGACGCCGGGGCGTATGATAGCACCCGAAATATAGTTCTTCTCATACCGACAGTTCCGTTAGTCCCATTTTTAAAGTATATTAGGAGAATAGAAATGCAACTTTAAATATATGTTAAGAATGAAATGTACACGAAATATTCTTTGAAGTTGTGTGAATTAGCTTTACTGACGAATAGTGCTATTGTAAATAAACTATAAATGTGTAGAAACAATTCATAGATTCATATATTCTTAAATATATATATATATATATATATATATATATATATATATATATATATATATATATATATATAAAGTAAGCTATGTCCAATATCAATGTTGTATGGTAGTATAACAAAAATATTGTTTAGAACTTGAATACACGCTTCTTATTAATCTGAGAGATTGTGATTACCATTTAGTAGTAAGAACAATGATGACATTATAAGTCGTGAATGTACCTATTATAATGTTAGTACAATTAAGTGCAATAATGTTAAAAAGTGTGAGAGTCAAGAATTATACATATATAGAAACGTTTTTAAAACGTTTTTAAGTTTTGTATTATAGTTTTTCTGTCGTCTGTATATGTAATTTTAATATAATATTTAAAGCAATATTTGAGTGAAGAACTTAGGTTGAAAAGAAATTGTATTTTTATACGAATTTTGGCGCTATTATTAAAGTATAGCTGTTTTATAAAGTTAATTATAAGTATTGTTAAACGAAATTCACGAGAGAGCTAAGAATGTGGGCCAAAATTCTGCTTTTTAAAGTGAGAGATATACTATTTTATTTACTATATTTTGAAACCGGCTTAGCTACAAGTCTTTTAACTACTACAGATAATTTATTATCTTTTAATTGTTAAACACGTAAGTTGAGTGCTTCAATAGATACAACGTAACGCACATACATACACTTTTGTAAAAATATAAAATAAATGTTAAAGCCTCATAATGAGATAATTTATGTAAGTTTTTTTAACAATAAGACTTGAGAAACATTAACATATCAATGTTAGGTTTGATGTTCGTTGCCTTTAGGCGTTTCTGTTGTAATATTGTCATTATATTGTAAATAAACGTAAAAAGAATTATTGTGATCCATCAAATAACTTTGTAAATAGAACTGTTGTGATTTATTTTCTTATATGTACAAGTTTATTAGAATTTAGTAAATTGTCGACATTTCATTAACACATACGGTTATAAAAAAATCGTTCAAAATAACTAATACATTATAATTACTATTTGTACCATAACATATTGCGATGATGATCCTTTAAAATGCTAATCGGATTACCTTGAAATTTTGAGAAGATGGCTTTCTAAAGTACCTACCTATATTTTAAAAAGATTATTTTTTAGTATTTTACTATGTTGGAACTAAGTATATTTCCACCTCAACAGTCCTGTTAGCATTTTTTAACGTATGTACATATTTTTATCACTTCTTGAACTGGGACTTGAAAAAAAGATTAAATTATAAATCTATCTGGTAATTTAGGGCATAAATTAGGTTTAGGTATACGTGCATAAACAACACATGAGCTGACGGTTTTTTTTTTTAAATTGAATAACATAGTATGTTTCCTAATTTAAATAACTAAATATATTTAAACGATAACATAGCTTAAACAGCGGCAGTTTTAAAATATTCTTCTAAATTATAGCGACTTGTAATGGTAGGGAAATGCTCAATTTCTGGCAGACCATGCCGTTTTTATAAAAATATACTTTAAAAGTGTTTTATATTTTTGTATATATTATATGGTCTTCTTTTTTTATAAGCAGATATTTTTATATGGCAGGATGTTCAGACAATGTAAAAACAGAAGACGGTTGAGTGTTTTAAAATGTATGTGTATACGTATTTTAAGTTGTTTTGTCTTCCTCAGGAGTACGCCACACATTGACAGTCCACTTAGGATTATTTACATGAAGCTTTTATGAATTTCGTTTGTAAATGTAGACCATTTTTTAAATTCTGTGTTCAAAAAAAAACTTAGGTTAGCAAAAATTCAAAATATAAACTGTTTCATTTAAGGCTGAGAGATGAGAAAAATATTATATTCTCGTATGGCTTTTAAATAAATGATATAATTTACTTAAATTTTATGAAGATAATGCCAAAATAATAGGATGATTAGAATATCTGTAATTGTTATTCCTGTTTTAATTATGTATATCTTGCACACAAGTTCCCTTCTGTTATCTGAAGAAAATTCAAATGATATCGCACTAATGGTATTTCTAGGTGACAACATAATTAAAACACATATAGCCTTTAATATACTTGAAAACATAATAATAATGCTAAAAACTAAGAGAAAGATTTACACTCCGAATCTGAATACAACTATGAAGGTTGCATATTCGATCTGTAAAATTATTTCTAAGAAAAATATAAATTAGTCAGTTTTCATTGTTGAATTCAAAACCTTTTGATAGTTATACGAAAGGTTTTTGACACCATGTAGAGCTGAGTTATAAAGCTATCTGTTCCCTTGTAATTAGATTAATGATGTACGTAGTTGTCTGTGTTGTTGAGGTTTAACTTTAAATGGCGCTCCATATTTGCTTACACAAAAGTAGCAAAGATAAAACGATTTTAAAAAGGGTAATATCTTCAATATAATCACTTTTTCTCTTGATATTTCTGTCTCTTGATATTTGAGCCTCTGCAAAATCATATTGGTGAGCTCATTAATATTATATGTTTTTATTTATTATAATGGTGTTTTTAAACGTGAGAGATAAAAGTAGGTATTAGATTATTTATCGCCTATATCCATTGGTACACAAAAACCATTTTATATATAAATGCCTATACGTAGTATTTTGTAGCCGGTAGGTACCTTCTCTTAGATATATGGAAACATTCCATAAAATATCAATGATAGTTACACATTATATAGTGGAATGTGTAAAAGTCCCTCATCACTAATGCAAGTTAGCTATTTTCATATTAAAAAAACTACATAATATTGTTACCTCGATTTGAACGTAAAATTGAATAATAAATTGATCTGCATTGAGTAACTTTAACAAGAATATAAAGCTGAACTATATGCCTACTAAATATGATCCGGTTAACAGAATCTATATGCCTTTCGTCATATGATTTAGACAATATGCCAGTAAATCTACAGAACATATTGTTGTAATAAATAGAGATACAAGTCAGTAACAACGAGTTGACTTTTTACAATAGATATAATATCTATTGTAGAAAGTCACCTTGTCCGATGTTTACTAGTTAAAATGTAAGCTTTTAGGTAACATATTGTTTTTCGTTGAACTGAGTGCTAATTTTATCATAATAAATAGCCAGTTGATGTGCCATTGTCTATTTATAGATGTTATGAAATGGGATGTACAGACTACGCTCGAGTAGCACATAATACGTGTTGCCAGTAAATATTAATTCCAAAAATATGAATGTCCCGATAGATCAGCAGACGAATCTAAATACCTAATAAGAGGTATAATATTTGGATTTTGATCGATCGGGTAAAATATTTGCTTGATAACGTATCCTTCACAACATAGTCTGGTTTTCAATTCCCAAAGCCCATGGCAACTTTGTTGCAAAACCAAGAAACAGTTGTTCGCTGTCGGAACTCTGAATGCTAAGTACGCTCGGACATGCATGATACAATTAATTGTTCATTTGTTTTGTATCCCGGCTGCCTGTTCGTATAGTTTGATATAAAGTATGAGTAATAAGATTATTCTTATCTTAGTGGAAGTTCTTTAGGAAACGAACTTTTCTTATTTTATTTTATTAATATTATATTTTATTATTATCATATTTTATTACTTATGTATTATTTTTCTCATAGTAGTTTTGTTAGTGTAAAAAGATTCACTTTTGTATCTAATTAGATGGACCAGGCGGTATAAAATAAGTTGGCAGCTCTGCTTCTTTTATCGTCCTGCAAAAGTTGCGCAAGAAAAACGTGTAGTGGGCATTTATCAAGACTAGTAAGAGGAACTCTCGACCATAGTCAGTATATCTCATAACGTATAATGAAAGTGAAATACATAACATAATACTTATACTATAGTATGGAAAAGTTTTCAAGAATTTTATGGCAGTTTAAAATAAAATATCTATGATCTGTGTTTTAAATATTTTTTCCTTTGGTAAATCATATCTACTTTTAAGCTATCCCATAATATTCAAGTCCATACAGTAAGCCTTTGATGGTAGCGGAAATCCCGCCAAATGAAAGAGTTGTAAAGAAAATAATTTTCAAAACTTAAACTGAAGCCAAAAAGGCCGCAGTAGTCCAGTGGTAACGCGCTCGCTTGGGAAACCGAGTGAAGAGAGTTTAAATCCCGGGTCTCGCACCTCTGATATTTTCATGTGCGAATCATTTCTAACATGATTACTACTTGTCTTAGCGGTAAAGGAAAACATCGTGAGGA